TGATCCATTCGTCGCGTTCAGACGAAGTATGGGCTTGACAAAGTGTAGTTGGCAGAACAGTTGATTGAAGGGCAACGGCGACGAGAATGCGTCGACGCTTGCATCTTGAGCGTCCTCATCGGTATTGCCTTCGAGGGCAACGACGAAGAGATGCATCCAAGAAAGGAGACGTATCCATACCAGCAGAGTCTTCGAGGTAAACAGGATGGTGAGGCGGGGTAACGAGTTCAGATGGAGCAACTGGGCGAGGAGCAGCAACGTCAGACGCTGAAGGTGGAGCAAGTGGCAAGGTAGAGTCGACGGCAGTTGGAATTGGAGACTGCGGCTGTAAGTTCGCATCAGGGGGAGAATCGCTTGGCAAATCGGGTGCGGGTGGAGCAACGGTGGGAGCGGCATCAGAGTCAGAGACCAAGTAGCGTGAATGAGGACGACGAATGTGACCAGAGCGACGAGGGCATCACGTTGCGAAGAAGTGTTAATTGGAGGAGGCTCGTCGTCGAAGAAGTTGCTTTCTGCTTGCTCCGATGAAGAGGGAGAACGAGTAGCAAGGAAGAAACACGTGGCTTCATTGAACATAAAGCTTCGGCTTACGATGTTCTTTTCGGGATTCTGACAGTACAGGCGATATCCCTATTTGGTTCATGACCCAGATACATCGTGCGAATGATCTTCGACGAAAGATCAAGCACTCATGTTGCTCGACATGAGCAAAGGCTTCGCAACCGAAAATGCGCAAAGCTGACAAGTCAGGTTGGGACTTATGCAGGTGCTCGAAGAGAACGCAGACAACACACTGGTCTGTTGAATTGCGTGTGGCAATGTGCAGCGAAGTCTTTGAAGCACTAGAGTGCATCAGACTTGTGCTGAAGGAAGAAGACGTAGCCATAGCGCGAAAAATCATCGGTGAACGTAAAGAAATGACGCATTGGTCCACAAACAATCCGAATGACGAGATCAAAGGGTTCATCGGTAAACGACAATGAACGTTGTGGAAACGGTAGACGCGATTGCTTTCTGGCAAGACAACTCGAGTAAAACATGTGCTTGCAGCTGGGAGCTCAATGCCAATCGTGTATTGTTTGGTCTTCACCGTGTGCTTGAGGCATGCCAAGTATAGGCATCGGTAGTCGCCACAAGAGAGTGACCAATAACAGCATCCGGTGCATCGAGTTCGACGGGAGTCGAAGGATTGGCAATATCCAAGAAAAATAAGTTGTTCCGGCCCACATCAAAGGCAAGTACTGGTCGTCGCGTGTGACGGAGCAATCGGCTTCACGAAACACGGCCTCAAACTTCTTGTTGGTAACGCGGGAGAGTGAGAACAGGTTGAATTGTATTTCCTAAGTAAACAAGATATCGACCAGGACAACAGGATATACGCCAGACGGGGTGTTCATATCCACTAGTACAGACCAAGCAGCGTTGTTGCAGTAATGAATAGATGTGCCAGAGTCAAAATCCATTCCGAGATGTCAGGAAGTGGAGCGGAGGATTGTAGTGTGAAGTGACTCACATTGTCAAGCATACTTACATGGTTGGTAGAAGACTGAACGTGGCGACGGTATTTGAGCCGGATGACGATGGAGATGATGAACCACGGGGGCGCTCCAACGAGGCAGGTGAAGCAGAATCCGAAAGTGGCGACGTGTTGTTCGGAGACGAGGCGTGGACCACTCTTGGAATGCTACTGGCGGCACGCTTGCGGCGGCAAACATCCTCAGTATGTATGGCTGCGTATGTTGCAGTAGCTGCAGACGACGGGGGTGTCATGGTTGCCGTGACGGGAGCGGGATCGTTGGTTTAGTCGCAAAGTAGTCGTTAAAACTGCATCCAAAGATCCATAAGAGCTTCGGATCTCCTTTTGAATGAGTGTGGTGAACAACTTCGGCAGCGTCGTGTCATCGATGACTTCGCCGTGTTGAAAGAAATGGGCTTGAAAGTTAATGATGAATTCAAACCGTTGGTCAAAACTGTTTAGGAAGATGCGAACTTGGAGTTTGTCGTCGATAATCACGCCAGCGTCGAGTAATTCATCCAGATGAATCTTGAAACGATCGCAATACGCACGGGCTGATTTGTTGTGGCGGATGCGAATCTCCATCACAGTTTGAAATAGACAAAATTCACCCATAAAGGACTTGGTGCCGTAGCGTTCGCTGCTAAGCTATATCATGGACGCAGCAGTCGGTTGCTTGGAAACCATACGGACGTGGTGGTTGTCAAGAACTGCCAGGATAATGGAGCGGGCAAGACGGTTCTTGGCGGTAAAGGCAGCATGGTTGGAGGCATTGTGCCAAGGACATCCTTGAATTCGAGGTACGCATTGAGTCGACACTCCCATTCATTGAACGACTTTCCGTTGAACACGTGAACAAAATGTTTAAAATCCATGGTTCAGGACAATGAATGTAGTGGAAATAACCAACTGAATAATTGAAATTTGTTGTTACCGCGAGACTTGATAATGGGCAGAAGCTTGACCTTGTAAATGTTGTCGACTCCGTTCATAGACTTGTCCACGAGGTCGGTGGTATGTTCGATAAGCAGGTAAAAAGTTCGAAAGAGGTACTTGTTGAAGTCGACGGTCTTGGGGTCGGAATTTAGAAAATCCTTAACAAGTATTTCTTGTAGATGCTTCGAAATTCGCTCGACCCGCTTAAGTGCGTTAACAAGGTCTTGTTGGACTTTATCAGCACTATGCCATCCTTGAGGGGGCGAAAAACCTTCTTTAACGACGCGGTTTTCTTTTCCTTGACTTGACTCTTCTTGCGCAACTTGTTCCCTTCGACCACACGTAAAAGGGACTTGACGCAATTTCGCATAAAATGGCAAACCCTACTAGGAGTTTAGTGCCAATCCAGATTCGCACTAACAATGTTTCCCAAAAAAGGTCTGCCCCGTATACTCACAGAAGGAGAACAGGTAGAGCTGTTGTGATGTGGAGCCGGACGGAGGGAGGCTGGCTGACGACGCGGACGGCGTGGACGGCGGCGGCAGACAACCCGGGAAGGCGCGACAAATTTCCGGAAAAGTGTGGAGTAATTGACGCGGTGTGTTTGGCCTCGGCGGCGGGGAAGGCGGCGGAGGTAATTTGGGCTCGTAACCAATTGAGTGTATATGAGAAAGTGATTGATTAAGCCGAGGTTTAGCTAGACTACGAGAATGTTCGCTTACTAGGAATTCTGCGTTAGGCAATGCTAGGGCGATGTGGCTTCCATCAGCTTTCACTTGCACAAGGCTCATGTAACATGCAGAATGGGCACATTATGTATGACGTGGCCCTAAGGCGGTTTTTGATTTGTGGATCAAATATTTCACGCCGAAGTGGATCAACAAATATAGTCAACTGAAGTTCGCTCTCAGTTTCGTCAAGAAGTTTTGGAGTTCGATGAGATTCTCCGCTACGTACACATCGATGGAAGTGGATAAATAGTTTTTATAAGTGTACTCTTGCGTATATAATACTTCGCAGTGAATCGTAACTTTTAAATGGAGGAATACGCCAGAAAACTTATTCGCTCCACAATTGTGGTACAGAGAGAGTATAAACTTAACGTTTCTATTGACCTTTATCCGGTAGAATATGCACTTTATCCGAAAAATATTTGTTGGTCAAAGTTACAACATGGCCATGGGACAACGATATTAAGTTGCTCGAACGTCGCCCGAGCACAATCAAGCGTAGGTGGTGTCTACACTAGCCACCCTAAACAATTAAGGCAAGTTTCACCGACAGCGCCGCAAACGAATTGGACGAAGAGGGGCTGTGGTTTTTGATGACTGGAGAAAATTACGTGAAATTGGTCCTACATACTCATTCAGTGGACTGCAGGCTAGTGTACCTGAAAGCCTCATATTTCGCTGTCTTTCAACCTACAAGAATTAATCGCCTTCCCCGAACGCCAAACGGACAAGAAGGTCAATTCCGCTCGGACGGAGGCCCCGAATACGCATTGCTCCAACTAACAGACCTAATCAGCTCCAAGGGAATCGAACACGATACATCCTCGACAGAGGAGCAATGGCAGAACGGTGTGGCTGAACGTACCCACCACACATGTGTAAGATCTTCCGTCACCGCGGTCATGTCATTGATGCGAACAACTATCGTTATGACTATGAGTTTACAATGATTCTCAAAAGAAGCACAAGATCCACCGACGCATTCCAAAGCTATTGTCAGAAGACAATGTCACGTTGTAAGTTGAAATGAGAGCAACAATTCAATTTGAGTAACATGAAATGAATTGTATCATTGCAATTCATAATTTCATATCCAAGTAGGTACCACTCCGCGGGAGCAGCCCATACAGGGACCGCTGGGCTGAACAACCCGCGCCCCGCCGTGGTCTCTTTCCATCATCGGCGGTGTAGTCTCCGTAGATTGGCACAGACATATGCAGATGGAAGCTATAGGCACCCGCCATGTCGCTCGGTGCCCGCCGCCTTGGAACCCAGATCTTATTTGGCACCATACCAAATTGAAATTGACAGTGTGGACATTTTAAAAAGTTTTCTCTATTCTATAAAATTTCGTAAATTTAGAAAAATATTCACGCCTCTCCAATTGGCCAGGTGGAAGGTACACAGATGGTGTACACCATGTGTTGACTCGCACATTCTTAATCCAGGTAGCTCCGATATGCACGACGTAGTATATTCAAGAGTGAATTATGTAGTTTTATCTATTGTCCCTCCACTATTGAGATCTTCTCCAAAGATATGGAACCGTATGTAAAGATATGAAGCTGCCGAGATGGCAGTGTCGGTGGAGAGCCACCTCCAACACTCCCCTGTGGCGATGCACCGCGCTGTCTTGAGGCGGTTTCCTTTTCTTGTTGCAGGCTAGGTTGCTGGGTACCTTGTTTTCAATTGTCGTTCCAACTTCAACTTTTTCGTGGGACAATCGCTTTTGTTTCGTTGTGTTCCACCGATTTTGATTGGCTTGTGAATTGATCAGTCCGTTTGCCATGACGTTATTCCTGAATTTTTCGATTGCACGGCGAGTTGATACTTAGTAAGCACATCGGCCAACATGTCTGCCGTGCCAGCATGAACCAACTTGAGCGTGCCACTGGCAATGATGTCGCACAGCAATGTGCTTGGATCGGTCGCTTGTTGTGTCGTTTTGCGCCGTCACAATCGCTGCCTTGTTGTCGCAGTGCAGTGTTGTTGTCCCTTGAGGTTCGCCCAGGTCTTCAAGGAGGCCACGGAGCCAAATGCCGTCCTTCGTTTCTTCAGCTGCAGCGACGTACCCCGACTCACACGTCGATATCGCCACGATGCATTGTTTTGCTGACTTCCATGAGACGGCGTCACCGCAGACGAGCCAAACAAAGCCAGTCGTTGACTTGAGGTCGGGTTTTGTGGCCCAGCTTGCGTCACCAAAACCGATAAGTGTCATGTCTTCTCGACGATATATAATACCCACATTCGTTGTTGCGCGAAGGTAGTGAAGGAAGCGCTTGGCCCCAACAAGATGTGGAATGCGTGGGTCATGCATGTGGCGGGACAAACGCTGACTGCGTGTGATATGGTTGTGTGCAAGTGGTAAGGTACATGAGGCTTCCAACGATTGCACGAAATTCTGACTCGTCAGTCTTAGGTTGGTTTGGGTCATCCCATGCGCCATCGGTATCCTCCACTTCTGATGTCGCTTGACCATGGGACTCATGCAATTTGAATCGCTTCAGCACGCGTTCTGCAAAACGCTGCTTGTGATAAGGTAAGAGTCTCCTCTTTGAGGTCCCGCTCAATTTTGATCCCAACGATGTACTTTAGCTCCCCTTGGCGCTTGAGGTCCATTTTCTTTTCGAGCTCGTCAATAACTGCCTCCGCCCGCGATGCGGTCTTGGCCGCCACGACAAAATCATCAAACTACTTGCAAACCATTTCAGGTTTGCCATCAACTGTGCAAAGGAAGAGACAAGGGTCGTGTTGGCTTGCCACGAAACCAAGGGAGATCATGATTTTCTTGCAGCGCAGGTACCAGGCAAGTGATGCCTGCTTCAATCCATATAGTGTCTTCTTCAGTAGGCATACCTTCCTCGTTTTGTCTTCGTAACCCTCAATTTGTTTCATGTAGACTTGGATTTCGGGTGGCAAGTCGGCTTGGACGAAAGGGTTGTTTGCATCGCACTGAACAGCAACGAGGCTACGGGCACATATCCAGGCCATGACGACCGGCGAGAAGGTTGCGTCGAAGTCAACGCCCTCGACTTGGGAAAATCCTTTCACGACGAGGCGTGCCTTGTAAGCCACCAATTCTCCTTCTGCGTTCTTCTTCTTCTTCGCGTAGACCCACATGTTTCCGATGGCCTTACGTCCCACCGGTAATGTGTCCATTGTCCAAGTGCCTTGCTCTTGCATCTTCTTTAGCTCACGGAGTTCGGCGTCGCGCCATTGCTGTTTCTCGCGGCAAGACATGGCTTCAGCATGCGATTGAGGTACGTCATCTTCAAGTGATGGTAAGGCTACACACGACAACTCAAAACCTTCGTAGACCATTGTTGAAGCATGATCACGATGATTATGGTCGAAGTCTATTTCGCCGAAGCGTTGTGGCGAACGTAGTTCGCGAGTTGGTCGAGTAATCGTCGGTGCAAGAGTTGGTGTCGTCGTAATCGGTGGGACACGTAGGCCGCTAAGAGTCGACGGTTGCTCCCCTCTTCCGACATCTTGCACATCAAGCCTGAAGAGGTCTTGATGCAGGCGGCACTGGGTTTCCCACAATTCTTGTTTGATGCTGTTCGGAATTGGTGCTGATTATAGGCGCTTGGCGATCTTGTGCAGTTTGCTGCGAAGTTGGATTTCGTTGCCTTCATTCGACGAGGGCATGGGCGTCATTCATGATCCTTTTCGGGGTCCGGTCGAACGGCTCCCCTTCATCGTCAGAGCTGTCATCATCGCTGTCATTTGCTGTAGCCAAGTACGAGTCGATGGGGACAGGCGGGTGGAGGAATTCACTTTCGTGGAATGTGACGTGGACGCCCGTGGTGACTTTATTGTCCTCGAGATCGAACAAGCAGTAAGCCTTCATGTTTTCGGCGTACCCGAAGAATTCACATTTGTGGGCCTTTGGGGCAAGTTTATCTCGTTTGGTTGGTTCCTTAATCCTGTTGTAGGCGACACAGCCAAAAACTTTGAGGTTGGCTAGCGTGGGCTTGTGTCCCGTCATTATGTCAATCGGTGTCATTTGGTCTTTAGTGTTATGGACGATGCGGTTCTGAATAAAAATGGCCGTATTAACCGCTTCTCCCCACCATCGGCGAGCCAGACCGGATCGGGCCAACATGGACATTGCCATTTCCATGACAGTCCGATGCGATCGCTCGGCAATTCCATTTTGCCATTGATGGTCTGGTTGGGAGCGCTCGCGGTGGATGCCTTGTGTCTTGAGCCAGTCGCGAAATTCGTTCGAAGAATATTCGGACCCACCATCGGTACGTAGTTGCTTGACTTATCTTCCTGTCTGTTGTTCGCTCCATGCTAGGATTTTCTTGAAATTTGCTTCTTGTGTAGCAGCGTCCGTTGACTTGACGAAGCGACCAATGTTATCGGTTCAAGCCCGATTATCTCCAAAATATAAATTATGCTTTTGTAGGCCGAGGCCACATCGATACACACGGTATAAAAAATGCAGCCACCCACAGTTTCGGTCCGCACTGGTCCTTTGGTATCACTCACTCAACATTCACCAGCATTGTAGGTGCGAGTACTTGTTTTCGGAGCTGGCAACATGTGCATATTCGAGACGACACAAGCAGGACAAGGCGAGTCAATGTCTCCCGAGAGATCAGTCAGCAATCCAAGTCCCAGTTTGGAGCAATATTTGAGTGTTGCGAGCGGTACGTGACCCACTCTTTCATGCCATAAATGCTAAATTGTCATTGTTTTTTGTGGTTCTTGTGGCGTTCGCCGCCACCGGAACAGTCGTATGGCCTTGGAGCACATATACTTTCGCTGGTTGTTCGAGGATCCCGTTGGCGATGACCAAGGAGCCAACGTGGATGCCGCACTTGCCGTGGCCAAACGAGACGGAGCATTTGGAGTTGCGACAGAAAGGGCAGGGACAAACACAAGGGTCATTGGCATACCATCGATGACCAATACTTCAGTAAGTGTCAACTTGTTCCCATTTGATGTGTTGGTGTCTAACGTTCCCATTTTAGTTGCTTGGGCAACATGACCATTGCGACGATGATTGTTCTGTCGCAGTCCTCAAGATTATACAAGTGCTCTTTCGCCCCTGTCATGTAGGACGACGCCCCCGAGTCGATGATGATCTTCGTCGTAGTTTTGACTGCGTTGAGACTGAGACGGGAGGGACATGGACTGGCGGGACTCATACCGAGACTGGAGGGACCCATGCTCAGACTGGAGGGACCCAATTTATCATCGGAGGGACAGATGCTGAGGTTGGAGGGACACATCCCAGCAAACAGGAAAACAAGGTAATTCGGAGCAGCACTGCCAGATTCGTTTGTCTTCGCGGTCGATGGTGGGACAGAAGGTGGATCTCCGCGCAACTTGGCACGGCACTCTCGTTTCCAATGTCCTGGTTTGTTGCAATGGTGGCAGTTGCCTTCTCGTCTTTGTCCACGGCCACCACCTCTACCACGACCACGTCCGCGACCACCTTGGCCGCGCGAGTTGTCAACAGCACTCAGTGCTCGTACATCGCCCATATCAGCGCTTGGAGATTGGATCGCTCCGTTGGCGAGAGCAGCTTTATATTCAGCCTCCAAAAGTGATCCAGCCGTCGTAAGTGTTTGCAATCTTTCAGGCAACAAATTAACTTGGTGGAGCACAATGCGTAGGCACCAAGGCATGAGGGGCAGAAGCTCTGCCACAGTCATATTTTCGTCTTCTGCGCATCCCGAAGACGTCGAATCAGGTTGAAGAATCGCTCGATAAAAACTGCCAGCGTTTCCATTTTCGGTTCCCATTGAATTCCGTGGTACTCGGCAAGCAAGCCGATCTTGTCCAAGTGCGTCTGTGGCTCGTGGTGAAGCTTGAGCGCTCCGTAATCCTCGAAAGCTTCGCTCAGTCCATCCACATGTTGATATTGGTTTGAACTGATTGATTCTATGATTAGGCCCAAAGCCTTTTGAGAGTCACGGGCGTATGTTGCCGCGTCGACTTCAGGGTATTGCCCGCGATGCCAGTTCGTCACGGACTTGCGCTCGTTCAGTCGCTGTCATGGTGGATGAGTGGCGGTACAGCGTATGAATCAGGCCCTTTGCCATTAGCCGACCCTTGATAAACGTATGCCATGTAGACCAGTTCTTGACGCCTAACAAGACCATGTTCTTATCGAGTGTTGGGCTCATAACCTCTTAATCCAGGAAGCTCCGATGCGCACGACGTAGTATATTCAAGAGTGAATTATGCAGTTTTATCTATTGTCCCTCCACTATTGAGATCTTCTCCAAAGATATGGAACCGTATGTAAAGTTATGAAACTGCCGAGATGGCAGTGTCGGTGGAGAGCCATCATCCAACACACATATCATGCATACAATCACAAGTTTACACAAGTAATAGATGCTAGAGAATTCGGGACAAGTTGCTGTCCGATCGCCCTTCGAGCGTGCTGTGAAGTGCGTCCCACAAAGGACACCAGATCTTGGTGCAATCGACTGCCCAATCCGGAATCCCAAAGTAGCCTCTCCTTCGCCACATGTAAAACGAACAATGTCTTAAAGCGATTTCAAGCTATTCTAGATCTGTGTTGACCTTCGAAAACGAGACACAACGGATGAAGCGCGCCTTCTCATTCATCGTAAAACTCGACAAAAGAAACAATTTAGACAGCAAAAACATGAAATGATCCATTTTTCATCAACGTCAATATGTTCATGTTGATGAAATGGTTCTTTTCATGTGTTTTTACGGCCTTGGCAGGGCACCAATACGATTGCACGAAGTAATGCGTTTTCGACGGGAAAACTGTCATTTGGCACTGTGTCAAGTCGGCGGAAGTAAAGCGAACGAGCAAAAACGGCCTCAAGGGAAAACCTTTTCTAGCGCCTGAACCCGAAAATGCTGACGTTTACCACCGAATGATGCTTAATTTATTGTCAGCAATTATGGCAGAGATGCCATGTAGATTAGAAGTACGGAAAAGATAAATTGTACGACTCAATTTGTGAACCAGAGTAGTAGTACAGTTGGCCTCAATCCCAGTGACTGTGTTTAAACCAAAGTCACACCACATTGCCTTTGCGCAAAATATACTTTATAAGCATTTCCTCATTTGGCACTGGCAGTTTGAAGAGAAGTACATGTTCTGGATGACATCTCATCAATTCTTCCAGAATTGGTTGATCAATTGTGTTCAGTAAATGTGTATATTTTTGAATTAATTAGGAGAACACTCAGTCACCAACGAAATCACACAAGCTCCAAATCAGAACATGATACGTACAATAGAAAGGTAAAATGCCATCGTGAAAATAAAATTCCTTGCATAAACGAAGCAACTCCAGCGCGCCAAAGACAGACAGTCAATAGCGCCAAAGTGCTTCATAGAGCACTTTCACTTAATTCATTTCACCTTTTTCGCTCGCAGGCAATGTCCCACATCGTATGAAGACACTGTAGTCTTTTGTCAGCGACACGTACACCTGGAAGTGGGAGAATTATGATATCTATTTTCAGACATTTGTTGCTCTGACGAATGTCCATATAATGTTCATGCCTTTGAGAGATCTTGATGGACATGACTACCACAGGTATTTCAATGGACATGTGTCCTCGCCTGAGCGCAAACGAATCCGATGTTGTGGTTCAGTAAAGGAGCCTCGAGAAAGACGCAAACAACGCTTGAGCTCACTGCTTCCAATCGGGGACATTTCACAGTATGGCGCAGATGCGGATATCAATTTTGGTACAGGCGAATGTAGTACTTTTAATTAGGGTGTAATAATAAATTCTTTGTTCAATGGGTAATTTAGTGTAAAGTGACCTCATTACAATTTCACAACAGTCAAACATCATCACCTTTCGTTTTGGTGACATTTCCCAATTGCCTCACAGTATTTTCGAAATGTGACGTTTTTGCAACTCACTTCGTTGTGTTTCAAAGACTTCTATTTCAGCCAGTCACAAATTTACTAGTCTGGATGCCTACTACACCAATGCCCGCTCGTCGAACGCCGAACGTACATATGAAATCTATTTCATTCAAAATGGTTTAATATGCAATTAATGTGGCCAACCTGTACATTACATTCGATGTTCGATCAATACATGTACTAGTATTGACAAAGGCTTTGCTTTTGGCGTGCGCCAAACTCATACACAATTGAGAGATGCCAACAGAAGCCGAGAAAACTCGTGTCTTTACAACGTTAGATTGGAAAGCAGTGGTCTCTCACAATGGAGTCGCCTTGACGACAGCTCGACGTGTGATTCACAGCACCATGCCAGTCGATTCAGCCGGGGTGGAGTGCGAGCGTCGCTGACCAAGATGACACCAGAGACAGTCTCATGCCGTTGCATTGTTTTGAGTCCGTCCACGTAGCTATCGTCTGGAGAACATGCTCAATGGAGAGTAACCATTGTCAATACATGTACTGATCGAATTCGAATCTACAGGTTGGCCACATTGATTGCGAGATTAAACCACTTTGAATGCATGGATTCCAGGTGTACAGATTGATTGTTATGTACTGTACTTCGACGCTGGATAAAATTGTAACTTCGGAACCACATTGATTGCTGGTTTGGCCACTTCGAACGGGCAGTGGTGTAGTAGTGTGCATTAACGAAATTGAATTTGGTTGAGCTTATGTCGTGGAGAGACTCGTTATTTTTTGAATTTGTTGGATTCCGATGGTCGGCACTAACAGAGAAACATCAGAATGATGATCCATGACAACATAATATTTTTGATCGTTGCATACCGTCTCTTCACTCTAAAACATGGTCGATCGAAGTCGTTCGTATTCTTTGCGCAGTTATCCGATTTTCATGCGGCTGGACGGAGCAGGAAGACGCTGCAGCCCCTTGATCGTTTTCATCGATGATTGGGGAAAATGTTCACGTGAATGCTACATATAGGATTAGCTTGTGTCGTTAACTGTCGCGTTAGGGATTGGACTGGACCGACTTACACAACTCAAGTCAGGGAATTCTAGTGTTGCATTATAACTTGAAGTTTCCTGGGTTAGGGTTGTTTTCAAATCGAGGGCACGGTTGGTCAAAAAATCCTGCGCAAGAAACAATGCCGCACCTGAAAACTAATTTCACGACTTTGATAGAACGTATATTTTGAGCATTTAGAAAAGGTTTCGTGAGATCCGTTGTGCACTTGCATGTCTCGCGCATCATTTTTGCGATACTCACCTGGCTAGCACTGCGATGGCTGCTCCCTCGAACCCCCAAACGCGCAAGGCAGGAAACTTCACGTATGAGGTGTACGCGATCGACTACTCCATGCACCGCGAGCATCGAAACAAGCTCTTGGACCGCATGTCGGCCCTTCCGGCGCTGGCCCCGTCTTCGTTCATTGTCCTGCACGGCGGGTCCGAGTTGAACGAGTACGACACGGACACGACGGTGCCGTTCCAACAAGAGAGCATGTTTCAATACTTGTTTGGTGTGAAAGAGCCCGATTGCGCCGGTGCGCTCGATTTGACCACACGAAAGTCCTTGCTGTTCGTCCCCCGTTTGTCCGCTGAGTGGGCGCTCTGGTGCGGCGATCGCAAGCCTCTGGATTGGTTTCGCACTCATTACGGTGTGGACGAAGTGTTCTTCGTCGACGATATGGCGGACGTACTAGAGTCGCGCGGCGCCAAGACGCTGTATGTGTTGCACGGGGTGAACTTGGACAGTGGTTTGACAACTCAAACAACGTCGACGTTTCCAGGCATTGACAAATTTACCGTGGACAAGTCGGCGCTGCACAATGAACTTGTCGAGTGTCGAGTGATCAAGACCGAGAAGGAGCTTGACTTGCTTCGTTGGGTCAACCGATTGAGTTCGGCAGCGCACATTCAAGTAATGAAGACGATCGTGCCAGGCATGGTCGAGTATCATGCCGAATCGACGTTCTTGCACTCGTGCCACAGCAAGGGGGGCGCCCGCTTTCACGCGTACACGTGCATTTGTGGCAGTGGCCACAATGCTGCTGCCCTCCATTACGGCCACGCTGGCGCTCCCAACGACAAGGTTCTTGCCGACGGCGACATCTTCCTCAACGATATGGGTGCTTCGTACCACGGATACGCGTCGGACATTACGTGTTCGTTTCCCGTCAACGGTGTATTCACGGAAGACCAAAAATTCATTTACAATGGTACGTGCTTCAACGTTTCGACTAGCCTAATCGAACGTGCAGGGGTGCTCAAGTCACATGAAGCAGCGCTGAATGCAATCAAGCCGGGGGCTCACTGGACGGACATCCACTTGCTTTCCCAGCGGGTCTTGACGGAACACCTCTTGGCTGGTGGTCTCTTGCAAAACGGCACGGTCGATGAATTGATGGAAGCCGAAATCAGCGCATATTTCTATCCCCATGGTCTCGGCCACTTGATGGGCCTGGACGTGCATGATGTAGGTGGGTACCTCCCTGGGACCGGCCGCACCGACACGCGAATGCTCCGGAAGCTCCGCTGCGGCCGCGTGCTTGAGAAGAACATGGTGGTCACCGTGGAACCTGGTTGCTACTTCATCGAAGGCCAATTGGAGGAATTGCTGACCAACCCGGACACTGCCAAATACGTCAACCAGGACGTGCTGCGTCGTTTCCGCGGCTTTGGCGGCGTGCGCATCGAGTCCGACGTGATCGTGACGGAAACCGGGTTTGAAAACATGTCCCATTTGGTCCCTCGCACCGTCGAAGAGATCGAGCGCGTCATGGCATCGCAGTAAAGCGTTCTTAATGCATGCTCACAATGCCAGTCATGGTGTTTCCAACACAGTCGAGCCTTGGCAACAGTGACGCCCCACACGTCGCGCATGCGCATCGATCGGTGTAGCTGCTCTACCACACGCCGTGTTTTTTGCGGTGTTTGGTCTCAATGTACAGTAGATTGCGAACGCCAACGCAACGCCTTTGGCCCTCTTGTTTACACATTGTAGAACTACTGCCGTCCCTTGCCCCCCCCCTTCCTCACTTTCAGTCACTGTCAGCACCATGGCAGCACGTCCGGGAGCTGCCATGGCGCTGAAAGTGAGGAAGGGGGGGGGCAGCGCGGTGCTGCTCTGGCGGTGTCCTTTCTGGGAGATAGTGCTACTATACCCATCGAATTCAAATATTGGATACAAAATATCGGCACGGCGAGGTCGGTACTACTAGTTCTACTAGATCATGTTGAACTACGATTGCGAAAACTGGGTGTTATCCGGATACGATTCCACGCCAAGCACACCTACCGCGTGCCTTTTGCCACAAAAGAAACGGCAGCGCTGCACGGAGATGGCTACCAACAGCATGGGAAGTGTGTGCAACACACCGCGCGACCACACGAGGGCTGCGCGCTACAGCTCGCATAGCTTGATATCTATAGAACCGTCGGCGGTGTATCCTCCCGTTGAAGGCGAAACGTCATCGAGCGAGAATGCAATCAAAGCAGCCATGTATGGATTCATCAACGCGATCTTTTTGATTCCCGTGACCATGGTACACTTGTCGGGCAACGATCGTAGGTCGCCGTGACTGACCTTTCTCTGTAGAGCTTCACAGCCATTATTTTCAGCGACCCGTTCTTTCAACCATACATGCCAGCATTGGTGAAGCTCGTCGGGTTTTCCTGCGCCGTGCATCAAACGACATTCACACTCAAGAGTTCCCTTCCGTTTGCAATCGGTCAAGTTCAAGACGCAGGTATGCTCCCCTCGCATTGACCGTGGTCAAACTCATTGTTGTTACCAGGCTTGATCTTTTTGTCCGCTATTTCGTCGTCCATCGTCACGATGCTCAGCGCTGACAAGGATCTGCCTCCAAGTGCTGTAATCGCGACGACTCTTGTCACGCTCAGCTCTGCCACGATGCTCATGGGCCTTGCCCTGATCTTGACTGGACACGTACGCTGCATCCCATGCCGTGTGCAGCTCCTCCGACTCTTGCTCTCCGTAGTATAAACTCGCCAGCTTGGTGCAGTACTTGCCCATGCCTGTGATAGGAGGTACACATCCCTTCAGCGCAATACGCTGGATGCTGACATTTTGACTTGCGCAGGCTACTTGTCATTCATCGGGTTTTTCTGCTTGGAAGCGGGGATGGGATTGATGGCCGGGGTCGAGATCAAGAACATCATGGACTGGTGGAAGCTGAGCAATACGGCCGCGCTTGTTCACATCCTTCCCGGCATCCTCTGCGGCCTTGTGCTTTTTGTCATGTCGTCGAAAGTGCAGCACTTTTTAGTCTTGCCCTGCTGTTTGACGTTTATTTTGCTGTCGTTCTATGCCTTCTTGGTCGTGTCGGGGCTGACCTTTGACGACGTCCGCCACGCTGGGTGGGTGAGCTACGCCCCGGCAGCAGTGTCGTCACCGTTGGACGTATTTGACGTGAGTCGTCGACACGAATGAATACCCTCGTCACTTCATGGCCTTCTGACGTAGCTGTTTGATTTTTCCCTTGTGCAATGGCGCGTGATCCCCAAGCAAATCGTCACTTGGCTCGGCATGTACTTTGTCGTTGCGTTCTCGTCGAGTCTCGACGTCGCCGCCATTGAAATGAATATGGGGACCGAGCTCGACTACAACCATGAACTCAAGACTGTCGGATGGTCGAATGCTGTGTCGGGACTCTGTGGCGGGTTCACGGGGTCGTACATTTTTTCCCAAACCATTTTCACGCTCAAGTCCAACACCAACAGCCGCATCCCCGGCATTGTCGTGCTCGTGTCCGAGTTGATCATCTTCGTGTTGCCGTTGGCCGTCACCGCGTACATTCCAAAGTGTAAGGGCCGCGGCGGGCATGTTTAAAGTGTACCCACGGCGTGCACTTGTAGTCTTCTTTGGGGCATTGCTGTCCTTGATTGCGATTGACCTGATGATGGTACGTGTGCCTGTCGACCGATTTCCGACCGCTCGTCGACTGTCGGCCATAGGAGTGGCTCATTCACGCGTTTTGGAAGCTCCGATTCCGCGAATACCTCATTGTCGTGTCGACGTTTGTCTTGATCAACGTCTTGGGGCTCGAATCGGGGATGCTCGGCGGCCTCGTGTGTGCCATGACCAATTTTGTGTTCACGTATTCTGAAGGGGTGTCCGTCCTCAAGGTTTAACAACCCACTTCACTTGAAGGCACGCAGTCCGCTCATGTTTTGTTTCTCTGCAGATGTTCAGCCGCAGCCGCGTCCAGCGCAACTATCAAGACCGCCAGTACTTGACCAAGCACCAATGTCAAATCGTGGCGCTAGAGTTGCACGGGTACTTTTTTTTTGGGTCGAGCATCCGTTTGGTGGAGCATATCAAGAACAACATATACGTGGACGCGTCCAAGTCGAACCGATCGATCGCGAAGGAATCGACTCCGCTGTTGGTGGGCGGCGTCGAGTCGTCGTTTGCCGAGGAGGACCCGACTCGGTTCATTTGCACGCTCAAGGACCTCGACGACCTGCACGGTTCGTCGCTTGGTCAGCGCAAGACGATGCTCGAGGTCACCCTTCTACCTTTCGTCGAGGGACTCACTCGAAAATGTAGCCGGAAACGCGCCCGACGCAGTTTCTGCTCCTGGACTTTCAACACGTGACGGGCATTGACGCGACTGCATCTCGCAGCTGCTTCCAAGCAATCAAGACGATCTTGGCCCGGCACAGCATCACCCTCATGTTCTCGCGCATGTCGGCCGATTTGGAGCGCCAACTCGAAAAGAACCAAGTGCTCAACGACGCCGACGCCGACAGCATCATGATCTTCAAGTCGGTGGATGCCGGTCTCGAATTTTGTGAAAACATGTTGCTGAACGAACGCCCGCCACCGACGCCGTCCACTGCCCTCCAGGCAAAGGATTTGTTTCCCAAGGCCAAGAGGACGACAATTATGAACGTGTCGACCCTCACCAGCGTGCTCTCGACCGCGCTCGAGTCGTGGTCGACCGACGGCGTCAATCTGCTCGTCGAACCGACGCACAACATGGAAAAGTATTTTACGAAAAAGGTGCTGGCGGCCGGCGAGCGTGTGTTTTCCCAAAGCGATACCACGAGCAGCTTGTTTGTGGTCGGGTCAGGCGAGCTCGAGGTGTACAAGGAAACAACGCACTCGTCGGCACCGAACCGAATTATCAAGGTCAGCGAAGGCTCCCTCGTCGGCGACGTGGATTTTTACCTCGAGCAAGAGCGATCGTTCACGTGCCAAGCCACGTCCCCATCGGTCGTGTATGAGCTGACGCGCGAGTCGTTGGACCGCATGGTCAAGAGCGACCCACAGCTGTGTACTGCGATCCAAACCGTGTTCCTCAAGTGCATGAGTCTGGGCGTGCACAACCATTTATTAGTCAACCACAACCCGCTCTCCGACAAGTAGGCAGGCTGCCTACACTGGCCCAGCACACACGACACGAAATGTAATGCCAGCTTGGTTCAATTCTGAAATGAGTGGAGTATTGGCAAATGCCGACGCTGTCGTGAGCACGCCGCGGTCCACGACATGGCCGTCCAGGATGACTTTGGCACAGCGCGTGACCATTCGAGACGTCGCAACGTAGCCTGGCTCTGGGCCGTGGACACTGGTGACGACCTGCCAGTCGGGACGCCCCCCACTCGTCGCAAGGGTTTTGTACCCCTTGCCAAAAAAACGCACGTCAAACGTTGTTGTCGAGAGTTCCTCGTCGGTCGGGCCTTCATGGCTGAAATATCCAAATGTAAACACGTGCGGGTATTGAATCAACAGCGACCGTCCTGCTTCGAATTTGCCCAGGACGAAAAGAAGCACTCCACCCATGAACAGCAACGCGAACGTCCAAACACTTGCAAAGGTCGCGTAAATGGCAAAGCGCACGGGGGTCGTGCCGTTCTTCTTTGCTAAGTACCGCTGGCTGTTGCGTACAATGGATGCATCGGCGCCGGGGAACTTGACCACGTATTTCTGCACTCGCTCGTCGTACCCGACCGTTTGCAATTTCAGTTTCGGTCCCATATACGAAACCTTGCGCGTTGTTATATAGCGCTCACTGTCGCACTCGATGGGAATGCACGTACCGTTGTCACATTGCGCCGGAGTTGCTTCAGTTCGTCGACTGCTGCCAGACCCAGCACAATGCACTCGTACGTGGTGGCATGGGCTCGTTTTCCATCCGACGAGATGAAGGCTTCGATGCTGCTACATGCTCCACCGTTGGGAAACTGTTGCGTGGTGAAGATCGTGCCCATGTCCGACGGAATACTGTCAAAGCCACACGCACTCACGACGACGCTCGCATTCTTTTTCGCGTCGTCACCATATCGCAGCATCATCGTCTCAATGAACTGAGGCTCGCCAGAAATGTCCACATAATGCGTGCCCGCCACCACACAGCTCTTCACGACGGGCTCACCAAACCGCCGAAAGGGGCCTGTGCAGTTGATCACAAGTGTTGCCGATTCGCACATCGCCTTCAACGAGAGTTCATCAAGGGCATTGGCGATCAGAATTGGTATGTCTTTCGTGTCAGGCACCTTGTTCATGATCAACGTCTTTGTTCCTGACAAGTAGAGGGTATTTCGGTGACGACTTGACAGATGTGTACAGACTACCCTCCAGTTTTTCCTTGCTCCGGCCAGCTAAAGCCCACTTCGTCGTACTTCCATACGTCTTGGCCCATTCCACAGCAATGTGCTGGCCCGTGTACCCCGACGCACCGAAGATCACGACGTCGAACTCGCGCATCGCGGCAACGTTCTCAAATACGCTCAAAGGGTGCAAAGGTACTAGTAGTCCTTGTTTAGTAATCATCACTTACTACTTTGCAACTTGATATTTGTAAACACAATATTACACCAACCAGTAGTACTAAAAAGGTCTCACCACGAAGAGCAGGTCATTTCGGACGAAATACACTACGCTTGACTTCAATTTCACGAATTGGTTGGAAGATAGATCATGTTGCTGCTGCGCCGGTCGAAGCATGCAACGCCGAGTAGGACTTGGCCCTGTGGACAGGATCTGTGCAAACTGGTCCATTCGGATGCGCCACAAGTGGACGACCACGGCCACGGCCGCTTTGCTCGCATCGCCAACTATATCCGATACCCCAACCACTTTCCCATCACGATGACGGTCAAGGAATTCAACGCCAAGTACATCGATTTGCCGTCAAAGGCGCGCGAAACGGAAGATGCAGTGTCGCTTGCTGGTATGATTCATTATTGAGCTGATGCGCCGCCGCTTACCTGATGTGTCTCTGAAGGACGAGTTACGTCGATTCGATCCGCGAGCAAGAAGTTGGCGTTTTTGGACATTTCCAACAACGGCCATGGGGTGCAAGTATTGGCCGAGAAAAAATACTTTCAAAGCAGCGATGGCGATGCCGACTTTGAGAACGTTCACGAGTCGCTTCGTCGTGGAGATATCATCGGTGGATTTGCGTGATGCAATCGACCTCACGACATGGTGCGACAGGAATCCACGGATTTCCCGGCAAGTCTGGCAAGGGCGAGCTCAGCATCATTCCGCGCGAGATTGTTGTGCTGTCTCCGTGCGTATCAGCAATTCCCAATTCAAAGTACGGCATCAAAGATCCCGTACGTCGGCGAGCCATCGTGATCCGCCATGCTGACACCGACTCCAGGACATTCGATTTCGTCAAAAGTACCTCGATCTCCTGACAAATCCCGGCGTGCGCGATATATTTGAGACCCGCGCCAAGGTAGCCATGCCACGTTTCGCCATTTCGTTCATGGAATGCTGGTGTAGGTAATCCGGCATATTCGTCGGTACTTGGAGGACAAGGACTTTATCGAAGTGGAAACTCCGATTCTGTCCACGTCTGCAGGTGGCGCAGCCGCCAAGCCATTCAAGACAGACTCGCGCGCGCTCAATACGAATTTGTTCTTGCGCATTGCCCCCGAGCTGTACTTGAAGGTGCGTCGGGTGTTGTATTTCGTGCATGGCAAGTAGTGACGTGTGCCTTTTGCAGCAACTCGTGATCGGAGGCATGGATCGTGTGTTCGAAATTGGCAAAGTGTTTCGAAACGAAGGTGCGTCCCCCGGAGCGATGCTTGGAACGTGCGTCATGTGTGCCAGGCGTCGATCCGTCGCACAACCCCGAGTTTACCATGTGCGAGTTTTATCAAGCGTACGCCGACTACAACGACTTCATGGCGATGGCGGAAGATATGCTGTCCGATATCCTTTTGCATGCATGCGCCACATTCCTTTTGTGTGCTTTGTTCAATCGATTTTTCCTTGACCTGTGTGTGCACGTTTGGTTTTGTCCGTCAACAAGTCGTATATCGTGCCCACGGAGCACGGCGAGATCGACTTTACGCCACCGTTCAAGCGCATTTCCATCGTTCGTGGAATTGAAGCAGCTATCGACGAAACACTGCCGTCGATGACCGACCCCAGTGCGCCCACTTTTGCGATGCATGGCTCGAATAATGCACTGTCGTTACGTAGACCTCATCTCGAAACTACTCGACATTTGCCATCGCCACAATATTTCGTGTCCCGCTCCCCACACCGCCCCTCGCATCCTGGACTGCCTCGTGGGCGAGTTCCTCGAGCCGCAGTGCAAAAACCCCACGTTCTTGACGGACCACCCGGCGTTGCTGAGCCCGCTCGCCAAGGCCCATCGCGACAACGTACCTGCGTTAGGACGTCTTCTGTCTCGCATGCAGAACATCGCTTTTTGTAGGCCGACCTCACCGAACGGTTTGAGCTGTTCGTGGCCGGGAAAGAGCTGTGCAATGCGTACACTGAGCTGAACGATCCGGACGAGCAGCGCCTGCGCTTCCAGTCCCAACTGGCAGTACGGCCGCCCATCCACCCATGTCTCGATCGCATGTCTAACTCGGGGATACCGTGTGCAGGATCGCGACCTCGGCGACCAGGAAGCCCACGAGAAAGACGAGGCATTTTGCACCGCGTTGGAGTACGGTTTGCCTCCGACCGCTGGGTTTGGCATCGGCGTCGACCGTCTCGTCATGCTCTTGGCCCGAGTGGCCCATATTCGAGTGCGTGTGGCGACATGAAAAGTGGACGGCCGTCCTCATGCTCTCTTTAGGAAGTCATTTTGTTCCCGACCATGAAGCCCGACCAGCACGCGTCGTCGGCCTAGCGCATCCGAATGAACCTCCCGCAATGGCCGCCTATCGGTCGCGCCGACCGACGTCCACAGAGAGCCACATCGCCGACTCCACATAAACGAATCCATCCTATGCGCATCCCCAGTCATGCCGTACTTGATAGCCGCATTGCGCCACGAGCAAAGCACGACATGAATCTTTCATTTTCGTCATGTGGCAAACGTTGGTTGCTTGCGCACCCGCTTCTCTCGTGGTGGCGTCGTCGATTGGCGGCAGTCCAGCGCATGAAGCACCTGCTTTCACCACACGCAGCGTCATCCAACACGCCGTCGACCGGGACTACTTCTTCGACGACACTTCCGCTTCCCTATGTATCCATCATGCACCATGACGTCGCAGACCCACCACACACACACGAACCATGGATTCACGCGGTTGTCGTCAGTCCCGTCGTCTTCGTCCCACGTGATGCGGAGAGCTTCCCACGGAAGAAGGCCGTGCTGGTCAAACGGCAACGACCCCGCTGCTACGCCCGTGTAGTACTCGGTTGGGTTTCCCTTTGGGTCCCGATACAAGATCCGAACGCGGTCGCCCGACTTCCATGCCCGCCGAATGGCCGATTCATATCGCTTCGAGTCGATGATATACTCGGGCAGTCGGTTCTCCAGCCGAATGATAAAGACAAGTCGGGTCGGGAGTTTGTCGTTGTTGTTCGTGCGCACCATCGTCGTGGCAACGTCCTTGCGCTGTTCTCGCGCAATGTCGCCAGCCGCGGCCTTGAGCTCGGACGCGTGCTTCTTGACCAAGTTCTGGCAAAGCGTCACGAGATGGCGGGCCATGGGTGGCAGCGTCGGAAACCTTCCTTCGCAAAAGAGCTGGCAGTTGTCCGCCATGAGCTTGACGTCGCCGACAAACTCGTCGACGGTCTTGTACTTGCCGTCGTGGACGTTTTGCGAGATTTTGGACAGGTCCATCGGATGCACGATAATGTCCGTGTACGTTGGAAAGTCGGCTTTCGACACAGGGTCGAGAAACGGACCAGCGTCGGGCTCTGCGCGCAATTTGCTCACGATGCGCGCAAGAATGCGCCCAAGTTTTTGCACGGCCGACGGCGACGTGCACAAGTAGCTGCCTGGTGCCCGCGCCAGCGCTGCGTCCGACTCGGGCCGGAGTGTCAGCATCGCGTACGGGTCACCGCTGCCGTGGTGGTACGAAATGTGCGTCACACGACAGATCAGTGTCGTCCCGACCAGCGGCGCATCGCACTTGACGGGTTTTTTGTTTTTTCGATCGGCCTTCACGGCCTGGTCGTGGCCATCGCCAAAGTACACAACCTGCTGGTCGACTTCAGGACAAAAGTTGCGCGAGGGTTTCGGTCGCAGCTTGAGCCACTCCTTGCGATCGAGCTGGACAACGTAATCGATAAATGCGTCGACGATAAAACACTTGTCCAGCAAAGCCATGACCAACACGAGCAGCTGTGGAAACGTTCGACTTGCCTCCACTGCGCTTCGCCAGTCGTGGCGTTTGCGCTTCCACACGTCCTGGACCAGGTCGTCGTTCAGGCTGGTGAATAAATACTGTTCCAACTCGAGCACGAATGGATAACACGCGGTCGGGACTCTGTCGACGGATTCAAGCGATTCCAGCCACTCGCTCTGGCGACCAAACGATTGCTTGGCGCACCCGTTTTCGGATACATACCCCACGAGCGTGCGCACGGCGTGGATGTATGCGTCACATGCACTCGACGTGACCGAGACGTTGAACGCATCCAGTGTATCGGTGGGAAGCCCCACGACATTGGCCGGTTTGGACGGCACCATCTCGTCCCGCGCAATCTCGAGAAATTTGTCCATGCCGGACACGATCGTGTCGTACGCCGACTCGAGTCGACTGTGCAGCAGAGACTCGCGCACGCCCTTGACGTTGAGCCATTGCAGCAGCGCCTTGACGTCGCCTTCGTTCGTGTAAACCGAAAACGACCCTTCCCATTCGTAAAAGAGCCACCCCGGGTCGAACAGCCAGTACCGGCCGTGGAAGCGATCGCTCCCGAGCGGTTCGAACCGCACCGACAGCGCCTTGAGCCGCTCCATCAATTGCTGTTCTTTGGCTTTTCGTTCGAGGGCAAACGCTGACTCCTCCGCCACACGCTCGTTGGCAATGTTTGTGTAAAATTCCGCAATGAACTCGTGCTTTTTCTTGGTGGCGTCTGAAAACACATTGTTGTAGTTGGTCGGAATGCCTTGGTTGATACACATTTGGCGAAATTCATCTTCTCGCTCGCGCCGGTTCTTGTCCGCGTGCCGCCGCACCGCTTCCACATCCCGTTCGACTTTGCGGTAGTCGCGCAGGATATCAAATTCGAGCTCGACGTTGCGTTCAATCGCCGCCCTACCCTCTGTCCTTAGCCCAAACACGACTGCTCACCACGATCATCAATCGTTTCTACCGAATGGCCGGGATATCGACGAGCGCTTCGGTTGCCCACTTCAACGCCCCCACGCGATGAACCAGCGGCAGCTACACAGCCAAATCATGCAATGCAGCTATACAACATGCACACTTACTTGAGAAAACTCCCCCACACGCAATGCTTCGTGCAGCTCGACCGCCGCCAAGTCGTCCACGACCGCTTGGTTTCGCCGGTGCAGTCGGTCGTGTTGATCGACGGCGAGCCGCGCGTACTCTGCTTCAAAGAGGTCCGACAGCGCCACCGCCGTCTTCCCGATGTCTGTGTGCTCGCCGTTGTATCGAATCGCGTTGGCCCAGATCAACTTGACGTCGTGGTGGAAAGATAGAGGGTCGCGTTCGTACGCCCCCGACTGCAGGCGAGCCTTGACAGTGCCCAAGTCCATCGGCGTCGAAACAATGTCGAGGTAGTCGGTTAAACCGAGACCCTCGACATCGACCGGTTCCAGGAACGCGGCTGCGTTCGGCTGGCTCGCGAGAAGGCGAAGGGCCGCCTCGCATCCGACCAAGGGGTCGACAGGCCCAATGTACTTGTCTTCGGGACGAATTAGTGCGCGGAGCACCTCGGGCCATGTAAAGATGGACAACTTGTCTTGGTGCAGCTGCTCCTGAACTCCATACACGTCCCCTGCGGCGCTGGGCACTTGAGGACCGTTCGACTCTAAGATCGTGCGCAGTACCGCCACAAACACTTCTCCCAACGCTGAGGCCGACGCGTCGCTGCAAATCCCCACGAGAAGCTGCGCAAACTCGAGTGTCGGGCATTCTCGAATGAATGGCTTGTACGACACGAGCGTTTGATAGGCCATGAGCAACTCGCCCAGCAAGTTGCCCGGGATATCCACTTGCGGAAATGGCGTAGCTGGGTACGGCGGCCGTTTGTCGCGCTCGGTCTCGGGCAGCTCGAGCAAGACTTCCATATCTTCCATGGGGTACTTTTTCTTTTCGAGGCGCTCGCTTTCCTTTTGCTTGCGCACTTCGTCCTTCTTGAGCCGTTCGTCTTCGACCTTTTGTCGTCGATCGAGCACTTCCTTCTCGCGTTGCAGCCTCTTCGCCTCGCTCTCGGCTTTGGCCTTTTCCGCTTTGGCCGTGCGGACAATGTAGCTGTCGTGCATGCGTTGGAGTTGTTTGAAAAAGGCCGAGTTGAGCCAATTGCCGCCGTATTCGTCGCCCAAACTGCCCATTTGCGACGCGACAAACTTGAAGTTCTCAATCAAAAACTTGGTTGTCAACGGATACCGGCCCAAAATCGACTGCTCGACCACTTGCTGCAGCGTCGCCCGGTACGACAGCCCTGGGTTTTTTGGCAGCCACTCGCGCAGCACCGATGCAATGTGAAAGCACGCTTCAAAGAGCAGCCGCGGCTTGGTGAAATGGCTCCGGTACGACCAGTGCGGCAGCACGCCCGAGATCGGCCCGGCAATCTTGTACCACGCACGGGCCGTGATGACCCACAGCGTCGGATCGCCGTCCGTGTAATCCAAACACCAGTCTGAAATCTCTGGCAGCCACACGCGCTGTCGAGCACACGTCGCGGGGTATCGAAACCCGCACTCGAGCAAGTCGAGCTCCTCCGCTTTGCCTTGCACCGATACCGAGTGGACTCCATCGGCGCGCATCAAGTCGTCCAAGTCGGCTCCAGCAACTTTGGGCGTCATATTGTGGACTTTGCAGTACGACGACGACGATGGCGTCGGCGGCTGCGCGGGAATCGCAGACGTCGAAATGGGACATTTGGTCGCTCGAATTGGCTTCGAGTCGCTGCTCGAGTCGTCATGGTGGCCATTCATCGACACGTCCTGTCTCGGTTGAATCCCAGGCATGTGGTGGCTGCTACTGTCACCGCTACTGCTGCTGTCGCTGTCGCTGTCGTCGCTCTCGGTGCTGCTGCTACTGGTACTCACGTTTCCAAACACAGCACCGTCCACCTGCCCCAACTTGTGTGTCCGTGTCGCGCCGTACGGGTACTGAAACGATGTAAACTTCGCCGAGAAGGCGGGCGTTTTCGCGGCAGCAACGACTCCACAGCTTGCACCGTCAAACTGGTCCAAGCACTTGCTGCCGTCGTCGTCGCTGCGGGGCGTGGTCGCATCTAAACCGAAATGCCCATGGACATCCGAGGCTGAAAGGTTCCCAAGGGTTGTTGTGTGAAGCATACCTTTGCCATCGTCAGAGGACGAGCCATCGTCTTCGCTCGAGTCGTTGGCCGCCGCGATGGCTGTCGGTTTCCGTCGCTTTGCCGACGACGTTGCGGGTTTCCTCGCCTTTTTTCGCTTTCTTGACGTTGGCACGATGTCTGGCATGTAGAATCGAATCGGCGGTGGCAACTCGGACACCGGAAGCGGCTGAATCACCGTGCCAAAGCCCATGATCACGGGCCGCTGTTCGCGCGGCAGCTCAAAAATGTCCAAACTGATTGGGGTCCTGCGCCGCGCATCATCGACTCACACGAGGAAAGAACGCACATCACTCGTACCCTGCTTCGTCGCAAAAGTAAAACATGTCCAAGTTGCGCAACACATCGCCTTTGTCGTCATGGACGTTGAACAGCGCCGCGTCGAGGTCGTCTTCTTTCACCTCCGTGATGGTCACGTTCGCGACCATGGACGGGTCAACGAGACCGAGCTCGATCTTGCCCCGGCATTCCTCGGGAGGGACGTGGGTGACACTCACGCCAGGATCTTCCCCTTTCATCAAATGAATCGTGGCATTGGATGCACTTTTCAAAACAGGCACGCGCTGGTGGATACCAGGCGATGGAACCAACCTCTCGACGCTATCTGTACTGACCAGTGCAGCGCCCTGCTTTGATTTCCTCGGCGCTGTCGCTGCGTTTGGCGTCATCTTCTTGCCCTTGGCCGGTGGACGTCGCTTGGACGCTGACTCGGTTTTCTTTGCGAACGCGGTTCTGGAGGATGGTGATTTTAAAGCGATTGCTGCTTGTGTCTTTTTGTACGGGGCACGTTTGGATTTGACCGTTTTAGACGACGGAGGCGCAGCGACGGGAGGCTCGGCTGGTGGAGGCGGCGGCGGAGGGGCCGAGCGATGATGGTGATGTCGTCGTGGAGGTTTTCCATTGTCCGAGTCATCGTTCGAGTCCGACGATGAACTGGAGCCACTGCTGCTGCTACTGCTACTGCTGCTGCCACTTCCGCTCAAGAGACTGCTGCTGTCCGATCCAGAGCTGGACACTCGACCGTCGCGAGCAATCAAGTCGGCCAGCGTCATCTCCGTGACCATGTTCAACTGCTACTCTTCGGCTGGGAAGAAGGATTCGACTTGCCGCTTTGAACGTCTCGATCGAATGGCGAAGGAACGCGGCGGTGGCGGCAGTTGCGTTTCGTCCCAGTCGATGCGACGGGCAAACTTGTGTTGGTGGGAGGGATCCCAGCACCACCACCACCGCAGCTAACTCGCCCATTTTAAATCGATTTTTTCGATCGAGTTGGTCAAAATAAACTCGTCAAACTCCATGGTTGTCTCAATTCGGTGATCCAGCAGCCTCCATCCAAACGGCGCAACCCAATGCGCTTGCCGTCAACGCGCGGGCTGTCTGGACGTAGCGGCAGCATGTTCTATGCCGATTCGTAGCCCGCCTAGCTGTAGCGCTGCCCATGCGATCCGTGTGAACTGCACATGGGAAGCTACCGGCATTTCTCAATTTAGTCCCAATTGAGTCTCGAATAAAACGGGCGAGGTGCAATTGACGATGCTCAACAGGCCGCTGCCCCCTGGGCGGCGAGCGCCTCGCTCTGCCATCATCAAATGCGCACCCAGCACCGACGAAGCAAGTGCGCTATCAAGCCAAGACACACAGACGCCTTGTGACAAGCCCAAGGAAACTGACGATGGCGACATGGAGAATCTCGAGTCTGGTCGGACGATGCAGGAGCTATGCATGGAAGACCGCCACGTGTCTGTCGCCGAGGTTCACGAAGCGACACCAGGTGATGAAGTTGTCATCGTCGCTGCAAGCAGTGATGTCGAAGCTCCTGCCGCCGTAGCGTGCGTCGTTCCCACCGACAACTACCACGTTGTGGCCGCATGCAACGAGGATGTAGCAACCGAGCCGCCAGCTCTGCCCGTCGTGGCCACACGGCCCACTGCAGCGACAGTTGAAGTGGACAGCTCTCCAGCATCGCCATCCTGCGACACTCCCATCGAGCGAGTGCCATCCGTGCAAACTCACATGGCGTCCCCTGACGATGTCGAGTGGTATGGCCTGGACCGAGTGACGCGCCCATGGACTGTCGTGCCCGAGCTGCCGCCAGTGGAGTCGCTCGAGTGCGTCTACAACGACGATGCCCGCGGTCTGCAGAAGCGCATCCTGCGTGCCGTGAAGTGGTGCACCAACGCGGACAAAGTCAAGCTGGACGAGTTCAAGATCAACTCGCGATTGTTTGGGAATGGATTCATGGACCCCGACGAATACACGCAGAGCATGGCACACGAGTTGGGACCGCTCAACATGCTGGTCATCGTCCCGTGCATGCTGCGCCTCCAGCCAGACCCGTTGAAGAAGCAGCTGCTCTACATGGCCCTGCAATCGTATCGTACCAAGTCGATGGCGACGTTGGAGGCACTCGTCGTTCGAGGGTAAATTCATCACAGTCAACAACAACAAAGGGGGGCTCATGGTGGCCACTGGCATGACACAACGCATCCACGTTAGTGGCCATCGTCGCTCGCGAACACGAGGATTTCTTCGTACGATGGATACGATCGATTCGTGGTGTGCTGGTTGTACAAGAGCGCCGCTTGCTCTTCACTCGGGCTTTCAAACGTGTGGTTGTTTTGCTGGGCTTCTCGAATGAAGAAGTGCGCAAACGCTTGGGACGCCAGGATCGCGTCGTACGAGTGGTCGATCGCGTAGTGCGCGCCGAGTTTGTTGTGGCCAAACTCGTACGGGTTCTTCTCCGGGTGAAACTGGATGCCGTAGATTGGCATCGTCCTCGCTTCGATTGCAGCCACGTACACAACACCTTGCCGGTCGACGGATGTCGCGAGCGGACGAAAGAACGCCCGCAGCACCGGCGTTGCCATGAAGTGGTCGAGTGTGATGGCCCATTGATGGTAGTTGAACGAAAGTGCCGCGGTCTCGAGCGCGCGGAACGACGGACTGAACCCGAACATGCGACTCGTCTCGAGCGCGTTGTCCAAGAACGTTAAATTTGACGTCACGTTTCGGGCGTCGACGTGGTCCAAGATGGAATGGTCCTGACTCGACAGCTTCACGAGCCATTCCAGGCCGAGGCACGTGCCCCACAGGGGAAAGTACGTCCCGTTCGAGTTCACCTCGATCGCGTAGTTGTACATGAACCAAGCGCTCTCGGGGGGGTCTCCGTACCCTCCAGGAAAGAGGACACCATTCACGCTCGACAGCAGACGCGCTAGCTTGTCCGTCGACGTGTTGTACGGAATGCGGACGGCACGACCACCCGCGCTTTCGATCCACTTCACGTACGACGACGCAATGAACTCGTCGTGGAAGAGAGACTCGTGCGCGTGGATACCAATGATTGGGTTGCTCGTGACGACCGGACGCGCAGGCGTGGACGTCGCCGCGCCAGCAACGTCGGTCGATCGCATCGTCGATGACAAAACAGCTACGGCTGCAAGGCCACCCACCACGACACCAGCCATCCCTATCAAGGCCAAACGTTGCCACGAACGACTTGGCTCATCACACTGCTTTCCTGCAAGAAGAGGAAGCCGATCCCCTGTGCTGTCCATGGCGCTGTCGCCGGTCGTTCGTGGTGCCAATGTCAATCCTGAACGACGCACCACCACGTGTACAGGTCATTCTGCCTTCAACAATACAAATTACAAGTAAAACGGATTTTACAACTTCCCACCATAAACATTACTTCACCTGGTACTATTTTGACCGAAGTTGACGCCGTTGAGGCAATTTGCAGGATGGCAGCAGTATCGAGCGCGGACGCGGCGGCCGACTTGACGGCGTCACTCCAGGTCGAAGTATGCGGTAGCCAGGAATCCCTCGACCATGACAGCGGCAAGTTTTACACAGTGAGTTGCTCGACCCTTGACATTAGGGACGTATCGGACTCATGTTGCTCAGGAGTACGTATTGCGCTGCACGCTGAAAGGAATGGACGGGAGAACGCGGGTACGGCGAATTCAGCATTGCGGTCGGTCCTTTGACGCGAAAGTGTCATGCAGACCTGGGATACCCTCCGTCGATATCGCGAGTTCTGCGCCATCGACATCTTGGTCTCTTGCACACTCTTGCCCAACACATCGTCATGTTGTTGATAGCTTCGGGAAAAGTACCCGCATCTGGCGAACTCGTTTCCTTCGCTTCCTAGCAAGAAATACTTGGGCTCGTCCTTGTCGGCAGAGTTCGTCGAGCGGCGCCAGCGCGACTTGGCCGTGTATGTCGATACGCTGCTATCACTGTATCCACAAGTACGTGCGTGCGCGCTTTCATGCGCTGCTCCATGCATGAAGCTCACATCAAACCATCTCGACAGATTGTGCAAGACGAAATCGTCGACGAGTTTGTCGAAATGTCGTGCCATTAAGAGAAATCGTCACGATGAAAATCAACTGCACCATGACATAGCGCGGCATCACTCGTTTGCCGCTCGCCACAGAGGCCACAATTGCTAGCTCGCGGCACTCAGGTGATAGACCATCCAACGGCATCCGCATCGCTTTACCACGGCGACCAACACACACGCCCCACGACGATGGGATGTCCATGTTACGTTATCCATCGGCGGAGATGCCGTCGTACGGCGAGAGGCCAAACATGTTTTCGATCGTGTCGTCAGCGCCATGGCCGATTAAATACTCTCCAAGCACGCCTTCCTTGTCGTACGCCATGGCGAAGTGCAGCGCAGTGTTTCCTTGAGCGTTCTTGTGGTTTACATTCGACCCTTTCACGATCAAAAACTCGACCATTTTGTGGTTCACGTTCTGGGCGGCAATGAGCAGAAGAGTGTTTCCTTTATCGTCCTCTGTGTGGACGTCGAACCCGGCCTCGACGCTCTCGATCAAGCGCTTGAGCCGGCCATTCCGTGCCTGGCTGAACGCTGTGTCCATGTCTGGCACCCCCTTCCTCGAGTTGTCAGAAGCGTCTTCGCGCTCGACGGCGCTCACTTTCATCTGTTCGTGCGCGGTCAACGGCAAGTACTTTTTCCGGGACACCAACAACTTGAGGATGTGCGCCTTGTGCGTAACGCCGAGGATGTCGGACAAATCCTCCGGTCGTAGCTCGAGCAGCAGCGCGCCATCCACTGCGCCTTCCTTGAACGCTTGCTTGTACTGCGACAGCGACAGCACGTCCAGCCACCGCAGGACGTCGTCGATGGACCAGTCCCGCATGGCGTTTGGAAAGGGTTGCTTGAGCGCTTCGTGCGCTTCGTGCTCACGCTGCTTCTTCTCCTCGAGCTCGGCTTTCTTCTTCTTGGACGCAGCATCGAGCAATTCAGCACTGCCGACTTGAAGGCGCTTCATCGTGGGGATGTTGGCAGCTGCGGCGGCCGCTGCAGCCGTCGCGGCGGTTTCTGCCGTGCTGGACACGGCCGCGGCCGTCGTGTCGGCGTTGATGTCGCGAAGACTTTTGAGCATGTTCAGCGAACTGAAATACGAAAGCGACATGGACTAGTCGACGGCACGCCATGAGGCCGTAGAACCGAACGAACGATCCAACGTACCATGAACTGGAACTTCATCAGCTCTTCCGTCGACTCGAAGATCGCCTGGGATTTCTTTTCATGCTCCTTGGCCTTCATCGCGGTGGCGGCGGCGGCGGCGGCAGACGTCGCAGTCGCTGTCTCGAGCTCGATGCCTTTTTCCCGAATCATGTCGAGCTCGTACTTTTGCTCTTCCAGCAACTCCATCAAATTTCTCTGCAGTCGAGTAAACTCGCGGTCCTTGCGCATGCGCGCCGCCTCCATGTCGCTCAACTTGCTCTCCATCTCCTCGAGCGCATGTTTCTTGGCCTGTACGTCGTTGAAGACACTTGTGAACTCGGCCTCGAGTTCCTTCTTTTTCTTTTCCCGCTCGGTGCGTTTGATGTGGATCGCCATCTCGATCGCGTACGCTTCCGCTTGGCGCTTCCGCGCTTCCTCTTTCGTCTCGAACCCGCCCGTTTCGTTCGGTTGGTTCAACGCGATGCCGTTCCCGAGAGGCACTGTGTTGTCGACGCCTCTAGTCCGAAGCATCTCGGCTTCGTGCGTGAGTTCGTGCAGGTCCGTCTCGATCTGGTCGATCTCGAGCAGCTCCCGTTCCAAGACAGCGAGCTCCTTCTGGGATTCCGTCAGGCTCGAGTGAATTTCAGACACCTTGAGCTCCGCTTGCTCTTGAGCCCGATGCAACGCGTCGATCTCTTGCTGCTGCCGCTCGAATTCGGCCTTGGATTCTTCGATGCGCTGGAGCCCGAGCGACAACTTTTCCGGACCAGGCTCGGCCCGTTCCCACTCCTTCATCTTGGACACCTACGCAACACCGTTGAAACCTCGCCAACTTGACCCGGTCTCCTCCACCTTTGTCCGGGCGAGATGCCCCCGGACAACTCGCTGGATCTCGTTCGCCGCCAACGTCCGCACGCGCGCCCCCAAATACTTGTCCTTTTCCCGATGCATCTTGTACGTGGCTTGAACCTTAGTCGCGTTGGCATGCAGCACTTGCAAGTGTGCGTACGACGCTCGGATGTCCCGCACGCGCATGCGACCTCGGTAACCCCGGTACACTCGTTGGATGAACAGAGCGTTCTTCTTGCGACGGGTTTGCCGGTACGCTCGGCGCGCTTTGAATCCCTTGTAGCATCGCTGAATCGTCACGGTCGATTCGTTGTACTCGATGCGGAGAAGTTTGGCTGCCTTGACCTTTCGTGTGCGGATCCGCGCGATGGCCCCCCGCGCGACGCGAACGATCGTTGCGCCGTCGCGCTCTCGCTTCAGGTCAAATTGAAACTACGCGCACCATTCATCTCGAGAAGATGGATCCGACTACGTACGGCTTTGCGGCGTTTGTCGAGCTCGCGCTGGGCCAAATGACGCCGCACAGCGCATTGGATCACGACCACCATGTCGTCCTGTAGCTTCTTTTGGGCTTCCACCTGCGCGAGTTTGGCCGCTTTGTCGCGTTCGGCTTGGGCGAGCGCGAGTTGTTTCTTGACTTGCTCGAACTCTTCCACTTTCAGCACGCCGACCTTCCGCTTCCGCTGTTCCTCAGCTTCCAGTTCTTCAAACATGCTCGTGATTTGCGTGAGTCTTGGCGGTCCCACGAGGTTTTCGACCACAATATCGTCGACACTAGACAGCGCCAGCAGCTCCTCAAATGCCGTGGCGCTGCCGATGTCGTCATCCTTGGCTGGCGCAGTACTGTTGGTGAACGGGTTCTGCGATGCCATTCCGAGTGTCTCTTCCAACGCGTGCTTCTCCATCTCGACCTGGACATCGCTCTGCCAACACGCGTCGCTCAGTAATTGTTGTTCCTGCGCACGAACGGCTTTGTGGCCAAGGAATTCCAGCTCGAGCAAGCGCAGCCGCTCATTATCCTCGTCCTCCCACTGCTTCCGCCGGAGCTCTTGTTCACGTCGAAGAGTCGACAGCCTGTTTTCGACTTCCCGCTTCTCTGCCAATTGTTTTTCCATCGCGAGTGCTTCAGCTGCGGCCACTTGTTCTCGCAGCTTCGCGCGCGCCCGCTCCATCTCGACGTCGCGGTCTGTGTGGTGATCGAGCGCCGTGGCGACCACGGAAGAGGTAGGTGCAATTGTTTGGATGGATGATGGCACCTTCACACTACTGCTGCTCTCTTGCTGAAAGAGAGGTGCTCGCGGCTTGTCCGCCACTGGCTTTGGCTGGACGACGTTTGAAGCACCGTCAAGCATCGATCGTGGCCCTGCCAGCGAAGGGACCATGTGCTCCGGAACAACGTGCCGCTGCTGTGGCTTGGACGCTGTAGCAGCTGATGGCGAGAGCGTCAGGTTGTCGTCATCACGATTGAAAGCGACCGGCGGCGCTTCCGTCGCAACTTTTGGCGCTTTCTCGTTCAGCGAACAGGACGGCCATGCGACCAAAAACTCGAGCAAGTCACACACAAACGTTTTGGACTCTTGTCGAACTTCGTGGCCCGCTCGGAGCCACGCAACGAACGCGCCTTTTTCCGCCGTGTTGAGCGTTTGAGTGAGGAGTTGTTTGGCTTTCGCATTCAAGTCTCCTTTCTTGCTGTGTTGGTGAGACCAAATGTGAGCACATGCGCGACCTAGACACAGCATATCGTTTTCTTGAGCTCGTGAAAACCAGCGCAAACATCAGGTCCAACCTTCCAAGAACGGGTCAACATTGGTCGGCGCGACAAGGGCGTTGTCGACCGACTGAACGACGACAAGAGGGACAGCGATCCCCCGCAGCTGCGACGCCAGGTCGACGTGGTGCAGCGCGCCTTGGCAGATTCGAATGCGGCCTTCGAGCGAGATCGCGTTCGTGACGGCGGTGTAGATGCTCAGCGCCATGTTCGGATCGACGCGGGTCAAGTACGCGTCGGAAAACAAAAACTTGCTCCAGTACGTCAGTGGCAGGTCGGGGCGGTTGGGCGGGAAGCACGAGAACAAGTTGACGGCGCCGTGGAGGACTCCAGCGAGTTGCGCGTCGATCTTGGCAAACGAGTTGACGACGACGATCGACGCCAGAGCCGGCCACGTTTGCGCGTACTGAATCGCCAAACAAGTGGCGAGGTTGCCGCCATTGCCAAACCCGACCAAGTGAAATGGCACGGACGTGAGAAACTTGGACGACGCATGCAAGTGGGCCAAGAGCTCGTACACACACTGCGACGCAAACAAGTTGTTCAGCACCTGCAGTGGCCCCTCCACGGGGTACTGCGTGCCGGCCTGACCAGGGGAATTGAACAACAGGATCTGGCACCCCGGATGGTTTTTGATCACGGACCGACAAAACACTTTGGTCGCGTCGAGTGTGTCAAAAAAGTCGTGGCACACGATCAAGTTGGCGTTGGTCATGGCGCTATCGACCATTCCCACAACCTCGTACGGGATGCTCGTTACGCCGTCTTTGCAACAAAATGTGTGCTGAAGCAGCGAGCCGCCGTCCGCGTGCTTTGGACCGCACAACCGAGCCATTTGCTTGGCTTGGACGACAGACTTGACAACGTTCGGCTGGTGTGTTTTCGGAAGGTCGGGGTCGGTCGACAGCGCCGCCCGGTCGGGAAACGTGGGCGGCTCGGTCGCAGCCTCCTGGGCTTTGAGCGAGTACGCGTCAACCACAGCGCGCGTCCTATACGAGTTCATGTCAGGGATCGCGTTCACGGACGTGGGTAGCGACCAGTCGCAAAACTTGGCAGCGCACGTCCAAATCGGTCGGATGACGTCGCTCTTGTACAAATCGTTGGTCATGTAAGTCCGCGCCTTGTCGATTTGCCATGACGAGAGCGCATGCAAGTCGACTTGGGTCAGCAGCGACAGAATGTTGTCGACCTGGGACAGTTCCTTCTTGGCTTTGTTCCACTGCGTGTGGACTGCCGCGTCGGTATTTTCCCGACACGATGCCTAGAACGGTCGGTCAGTACATTCGACAACGATCCTGCCGTCTAGCCTGAAAACGTGCGGCCATAAAGACACAAACCTTCATCTTGTCGCCGAGAAGCAGAATCATGAGCACATTTGTGACCATCGCGACAGCCGGCGGTGGATGGAGAAAGCTGCGCAGCTCGGCCACGTCGACTTTGGTGATGGTACTCAACACGGCCTGGGCTCGTTTCCACGCCACCTCCCACGGAAGGAGGTTGCCCGGGTCGTCGCCGTTCAAAGGCGCAAGTCCCTTCCTTGTGGTCGATGCGCCGTCGGCCGCCCTTACCACGACACCGTCGAGTGCAATCTCCTTCGCCCCGTGCTTTCCTTTGGTCGCCTTCTTTGCCTCGAGTTTCTTAAGGGCTCTCGCGCGGGCTTTGTCGATGAGCGTGTAAAACGCAAAGCAGTTGGCGCACACGTCGCAGTCTTGGTAATAGTAGCCTGGGAACGACTCCCCGAGCACTTCACCGTCGCCAAAGTATTCCTGGGCCAAGTAGTCGCACGTTTCTCCACTTATATAGCGCCGGACAAACAGTGCGACCAGGTCCTTCTCCGCTCGAGTTTGCGCGATGCATTTGAACGGAATGCGATGGGTTGGCTTTGCAGCTACAGGCTTGTCGGCGTGCTTGCCGGACAACGGGTTATTGTTGTCGTCGTCATGCTTTACGGGCGACCCGAGGCGGTGTTCGTACTTTTGAGCTTTCGACGATAGGGTTCCCGACCCGAGTGGAAATCCCAGTATGCTCTGCCGATGCTCTTTTTCGTGGCCACTCGGATCGATCACAGTCGAACAGTAGTCGCCACAGCACCCTGCCTTTTGACTCGAACCCAAGTACGCGGCTGACAACGCGCGGCGTTCCATCTTGGACGGTCCACCCCCGGAAGTTGTCGTGGACGGGGGGATGGTCGATGGCGGCAACAGCGAGCTCAATCCGCGGGGGTTTGGCTTGGATTTGGTATGTTGGGCCATGATGGCCTCGACAGCCCGGTCGTCCGGTGCCGTGAGCTCCTCTAGTTTGGCGCGGGCCAGCATGCGTTGCGATGTGGCTGTCGGCCCGATCGTGCTTTGAAGCCCAACGCTGCCCTGCGTTGTGTCTTTTCTGGCCTTGGCCACGTGCAGGGGTGTTGTTTCAAACTCTTCCGTTCGGACAAGAAACAGCGTGCCGTAGTCGTCGACAACATAGTGGGCAACACATCGAATCACTTTGCACTTGCGTGCTTTTTCCACTTGCCTGTTGCGACAACGATCAGCCGGACGAACGATCGATCGAACGTACGAAATCACGTTGGACGTCATGAAATCCATGGCTCTCGTCAGCTGGGTGTCCATGCAAGCGATTCGTTGTGCTCCCAACGCAATGCGGAACGACTTCGTTTGCGCTTTTCCGTTCTTGTTGACGCTAGATCGACGACCATATCAACACCGATCGCTTCTTCGAAAACGCAGCTCACCGAAAGTCGTTCTCGTAGTTGGCAAACCGCCCGGCGTGGAGTTCGCCCTTGGGGGTGACAAATGCGTGTATGCACGTGGGCCCTCGCGGCAGCTTCTCCAGCATTCCCGACAGTTCTCCCGCCGAAATCAACTGCGACCAGCGAGTTGAGAACAACTCCAGTACGACGACGATGACCCAGGACAGTACCTCGCAGTCGGAGCTTTGATCGCGCCACACCACGGCCACGTACTGCGCGTGATTCTTCTCGTACGCGAGACTGATACGCGTGAAGGTTTGAAAAATAGCGTGGGGCGTCGTGTTCTTGGGCATCTTGCGAGCGACGAAGCCGTCCTTGGTGGTGAAATACCACGCCGTGATCTCGCCGCCGTTGACAAAGATCGTGTCGAGGATATCGAGTGACATCATGTCCGCTTGGTCTCGCGGCGCCGTGAACGCAGTGCAGACATACTCCCACGTTCGGACCTGCCGCACTTGGTCTAGATTGACGGTCGGGAGGTCGTCGCGTGTGATGTGCTTTAGTGGCGTCATGCGGTCGGACCGCCGAGATGGGTGGCTGGCGAACGACGAGCAGACGGCGAGGCTACCCGGCCTCCCTCGCGCATCGATAGGGGAACCGTCTAATTTTGTCGGCAACTCGCAGCCGTTTCACTGACACGATCGGTTACATTTTACAACCCAACGACAATCGTGCCCTTTCGGAACGGCGACACCACAGCCACTCGTTTGTGACCTGGACAGGTTGTTGTTGTATTGTAAACACAAGCACTATCTAGAGAACCAAGTGACGATGGCGGGTGGACGGCAGTTAGACCATCCACGTCAACGTCGCCTTCAACGACGGGGTGTGGGCCACCTTGTCCTTGGGCTCCAAAAACAGGTCCTTGTTGTTGACGAGCTGCACAACTTCGTTTTGGATCGCGACCGTGATCGCGCCTTCTGCATCCGTTGTCACCGTGTCGCGGACCTTCGAGTACTCCATCGTGGCCACGAATGCATGGGCATGCTGCAGCGCCATGTCGTTGTTCTCAGTCAGGTCGGCAAACAGGACCGCCGGTCGCGCGACAAAAATCTCGACGGACGATCCGGCAAACTCGGACATTTCCGAAATAATCGTGACGCTGCCTTGGGGCTTGAGGGACAGCGGCGAGGGGGTCGTGCCCAGCGTGCCAGCGACGATGCCCACGAATTGCTTGATGGCCTGGCGACATACAACGTGACAACGACGACATGGCGATGCCGACGGCGCAGTACCTCGGTGATGGGGCCGTCGTTCGATTCGCCTTCTTGAAAGTAGATGTGGACCTTGTCGCCGACAATCAAACCCGCCTTTTTGCGCAACTTTTGTACGCGGTTGACAAATTCGCGGGCAAACCCCTGGTTGCGCAGGTCGTTGTCCTCGCGAACGTCAATGACGACCATGAGGCGGCCATCGGGAGATACGTCGGCTTCGTAGATGGATTTGTCGCCCTTGAAGTCGCGCTTGACGATCAAGTCGTCACCAGATAGCACGACATTGTCGTGCAAAGTGATCGTTTGGTGGGTTTGGTAGTGCAGCGCTTGTTCGTGGGTCAGCGCTTCGACTTGCTTCTTGACAGGGGCGAGTCCCTTGCCCAACCTTTTGCCCAACACTTTGCTGTTGACTTCCACCTTTAGCGTGCACCACGCTTTTTCATCGGCGGCGAATTCCAAGTCCTACAACGACATCATACCGTCATCCCTTCGATTCGAGTCTATTGCTTTCACACGTACGCGCATGTTCAGTTCGTCGTGAATGTACGAAGACACGTCCTTCAACTCGCTCAAGACGGCGGCGTCGCTGCACACGACTACCACACGCTTGACAGGGTTCTTTAGCGAGATATTGCGGCGTTCGCGGACCACGCGGCCCATCTCGATGACGCTCTGGAGGTTGGCCATGCGGGACTCGGCCATTTCGTTCAATCGGGTCTCGTCCGCGTCAGGGATCATCAAAAAGTGGATGCTCTTTGCCAACCCGTCGCTGTCTTCGGGCGACCCCGGCGTCGCGATCGTCTGCGACTTGGGGTGGTACAACTTTAAGAACTGATACATGTACTCGGTCAGAAACGGCGTAAACGGCGCCATGAGCTTGCACAACGTGTAGAGCACTTCAAAGAGCGCGGAGAGCGCAACGTGCGCGGCTTCCGCCCCGTCACTGCCCTTGAGGCGGTTGCGGTTCAACCGGACGTACCACTTGGTGAGCTGGTCGATGAAATCGACGAGGCGCGGCACAACCGTGTACAGTCGGTACGCCGCCATTTCGGCACGCACAAATTTGATCAAGCTGTGCAACGCCGCAATGATCCATGCATCCATCACGTTCGTGTAGTCGACCGTAGTCGACGGCACAAACGTCGAGCCAGTGACGTCTTCGAGGCGTTCCACGTTCTGAACGAAGAACCGCGCCGAGTTGTACCAGGGGAGGAATAGGTCGCGGATGATTCCCATGACGCCGGCCTCCTGGAACTTGAGCGGCTCGGCGCGGACGACGGGCGAATTGATCAAGTACAGGCGGAGGGCATCCGCACCGTACTTGGCAAAAATGTCGGCCGGGTCGGGGTAGTTTTTCAGGGACTTGCTCATCTTGCGGCCGTCTTCGGCCAAGACGAGACCGTTTACAATGAGGTTCTTGAAGGGCGGCTGGTCAAACAGCGCCGTCCCGATCACCATGAGCGTGTAAAACCACCCGCGGGTTTGGTCCAGCCCTTCTGCAATAAAGTCGGCAGGGAATCCGCTGTGAAACTTTTCCTTGTTTTCAAACGGGTAATGCTGCTGCGCATACGGCATCGAGCCGGATTCGAACCAGCAGTCGAACACTTCTGGCACGCGGCGCAGGACACCGCGCCCCGTCTTGGACGGGATCGTGATCTCGTCCATGAACTCGCGGTGCAAGTCTGTGATGGTAGTCACGCCCGACAGCGCCTTGAGCTCGTCAATCGACCCAACGCACACGACCTCTTCGTAGTCGTCGCTGACCCACAGCGGCAGTGGGGTGCCCCAGAAACGGCCGCGACTGATGTTCCAGTCCTTGCCGTCGACGAGCCAGTTGTGAAAGCGCTTCTCCTTGACAAAGGCCGGGACCCAGTACGTTTTTTGGTTGTTCGCAATTATCTTGTCCTTGATTTTCTCCACGTTAACAAACCATCCAGGCACCGCGCGGTAGATCAACGGCGTCCCACTGCGGTAGCAGAACGGGTAGCTGTGGACAAACGTGCTCTTGCTGACAAGACGGTCGCGCGCCTTCAGGTCCTTGCACAGCACATCGTCCGCTTCCTTGACATGGAGCCCTGCAACGAGCGGCACCTGCTTGGTGAACTTGCCATTATCATCCAACGGGTCCGGCAACGCCGTCTTTGTCACGATCGCGTTTTTCAAGCAGACGCGGTAATCGTCTTCGCCGTACGTCGGCGCTTGGTGGACAATGCCGGTACCGCCGTCCGCCGAGACATACTTGTCGGCGAGCACCTGGAACGCGTTCGGCCAGTCGGCGAACGTGTCAAAGAGCGGAACGTACTTCTTCCCGACCAAGTCGACGCCCTTGAACGACGCGCCGACCTTTTCGAACTCGGAGCCGGCAACGTACCCCTTCTTTTCGAGCTTTGGGTACACTTGGACGAGGCGGGCCTCGGCGAGGATGTAAAACTTGTCCGACTTGAGGTCCTTCACCTTGATGTAGTCCAGGTCAGGGTTCACGCACAACGCCAAATTGGACGGCAGCGTCCAAGGCGTCGTCGTCCATGCCAACAAGTGCGTGGCCTCATCGCCGATGATCGGGAACGACACGACGACGCTCGGGTCGGGAGTGTCACGATAGTCTTGGTTCGCCTCGAAGTTCGACAACGACGTGTTACATGCCGTCGAGTACGGCAGGATCTTGAATCCACGGTAGACCAAGTCCTTTTGGAACAACGTGGCAAACACGTGCCACACGCTTTCCATATACCAAGGTTCCATCGTCTTGTAATCGTTCTTGCAATCGATCCAACGACCCAAGCGAGCGACGGTGGTTTCCCACTCCTTCGTGTAGCGCTGCACAATCCCACGGCACTCGTTGTTGTACTTGTCGATCCCCATCGCCAGCACTTCCTCCTTTGTGTGGATGTTGAGCTTCTTGTTGATTTCAAATTCAACCGGCAACCCGTGGCAATCCCACCCGAAGCGACGTTCAACGTAGTGCCCCGTTTGGTGCGCAAAACGCGTGACAATATCCTTGATCGTACCCGCGAGAATGTGGCCATGATGCGGCAAGCCTGTGGCAAACGGCGGACCGTCGTAAAACGTGAACGGCTTGCGGTCCTTGGACAACCGGAGCGACGTATGGAACGCATCCAGCTCTTGCCACAGCTCTAGCGTCTTCACTTCTTCGTCGGGAAACGACAGACGTTCCGGGAGACGCACGTTCGCGTGCGGCGACGACGACGGCTTCTTCGTCATGCTAGAACCACCACCCAAATTCAAAGTATGGCGCTTCCCGAGCAAAAGTCGGCCCCATCCGGATAACGCCTCTCAACTCCAATCCATCAAATTGAGCGACAAAAAAAATTCTTCTGGTCGCAGCTTTGGCGGCTACATACGCCGAAGCAGGCGGCGGCTTTCTCCTGCAGCGTGAGTGATGGACGCGACCCATTGACTCTCTTAGCGACACCGCGAGCTCCATGGGCACGCCGCATATTTGCTCCACACACCACGTGAAAGAATGCACTCAAGCTGGCGTTGTGCAGGTCACCGTATGACCAGTCACACCTTCGACGTCCCGATTGAAAATTGGCTAGCGCCAACATTTCTGTGACGTTACTGTAGGCAATGCATGCTAATCCCTTGCGCATATTTCCAGCGCTCTTGGCGAGTCTCATCGCGTCAATTCATCAACATCGATATGCTGGAGCATGTCGTATAACGTTGGCAGTTCAGATCCATCACAGGGACCTTGAGCAAGTGTACAGAGTACCACCTGCATTGGCTGGCCTTGACACTCGAAGGATTTTCATGCGCGAACGATTTCCCATGGATGGGTCGCGCCTACACAACCCAACAAAGCTGTAGGAGGTGCGTGCATGTGTTCGTCACAAACTCGCAATTCGTTTTCATACCTTCGAATCTTTTTTCCCAATATTCCTTTTTGCGAATCCTTCCGGATAAAATAAAAATCGCTGATTGGTCCAAATTCATGTTGCACCTCGACGTGCATGACGAAATACCAAGTGGGTGCCACAAACACACTTCGCCACCACTTCTGCAGCCAGCCAGCAGTCGAACGAACGATGGCTCCAGCACCGACGCACCGCATTGAGAAGGACACTATGGGCGAGATCCAGGTCGAGGCTCATCGGTACTGGGGAGCCCAAACGCAGCGGTCGCTCGAGAACTTTACCATCGGCGGCCAGCGCATGCCCCTCGAGATCATTCGCGCGTTTGCGATACTCAAGAAAGCGGCCGCGCAAGCAAACCACGAGCTCGGCGTGCTTTCGGCTGAAAAGACGGCTCTGATCAGCACAGTGTGCGACGAAATCTCGTCCGGTGTGTTGGACGCCGAATTTCCCCTAGTCGTGTGGCAAACCGGGTCTGGCACCCAAAGCAACATGAACGTAAACGAAGTGATCGCGAACCGCGCGCATGTGCTGTCTGGCGGCAGTCTCCTCGACGCAAAGAAGACCATCCACCCCAACGACGACGTGAACAAATCGCAATCGTCCAACGACACGTTCCCGACCGCCATGAGCATCGCCGCGTATAAACTCGTCGTCGAGAACACGATTCCGAACGCCAGAAAACTCCGCGACACGCTTCAGGCCAAAGTCGAAGCATTTCGCGACGTCATCAAGATTGGCCGCACGCACCTCATGGACGCGACGCCCCTGACGTTAGGCATGGAGTTCTCGGGGTACGTGGCACAGCTGGACCATGGCATTCGCGCCATCGAAGTCACGCTAGACCACCTCTCCGAGCTCGCGTTAGGCGGCACTGCCGTTGGTACGGGCCTCAACACTCCGCCAGGGTACGACGTCCTTGTCGCCACGAAGATTGCTGAGCTTGCTGGCCATCCATTCAAGACCGCACCCAACAAGTTCGAGTCGCTTGCGGCGCATGACGCCATCGTGGGGTCGTCCGGCGCGCTGAAAAAACTGGCGGTCAGCTTGATGAAAATCGCGAGCGACGTCCGACTCCTCTCGTCTGGCCCGCGCTGCGGCATCGGCGAGATCAGGATTCCCGAGAACGAGCCCGGTTCGTCCATCATGCCGGGAAAGGTGAACCCAACGCAGTGCGAAGCCATGACGATGGCGTGCGCCCAGGTGATCGGCAACGACACGGCGATCAGCATCGGCGGCATGAGCGGCCACTTTGAGCTGAACGTGTTCAAACCGATGATCATTTTCAACTTTTTGATGTCGGCGCGCCTCCTGGGCGACGCCTGCGACTCCTTCGACAAGCACTGTGCCGTCGGCATCCAGGCAAACCCCGCCGTGATCGATCGCCACTTGGAGAACTCGCTCATGCTCGTCACGGGGCTCAACACCCACATTGGATATGACAACGCCGCCAAGATTGCCAAGAAGGCGCATAAGGAAGGCACGACCCTTCGCCAGGCAGCCCTCGATCTCAACCTGCTTACGTCCGAGCAGTACGACCAGTGGGTCGTCCCGCGCAACATGATCGGTAGCATGAAGTAAATACGCGGCCAACGATGCTGCCCTCTCCCCGCCCACGCGGCGACAATTGAACACTGACCTGCGTCCTTGTCGCTCCTTGTGATGACTTTTGTGGACAGATCGGGCCTCTCGTCGATCGGTGGTTGCGCCAGATGCACCGAGCGGCCGTGACAGTTACAAAATGGAAACCGACAGCGCAGCGCCGCCCGCCGCCCGTGATGGCGCAGACCCATCCCTGCCTGAAGGCATGCGGCCAGACGACGTCACCGAGGATACCGCAAACAACGATGAATCTGGTCTGTTCGACGGGACGACGGGCACATCGAACAATGGGCCTGGCGCGGTGTCGCCATGGCTTCCTTTCGTTGACGAAGCGTCTGGCGCGACGTACTACTACAACCAAGAGACGCAGGAGCTGAGTTGGACGGACCCTGCGTCGCCGTTTAGCCATGGCTGCGACGACACCAATAACGATGATAGACCTTTCCCCGAGGCTTCGTCTCGGCCGGGGTCGGCCTCACTGGGCGCCACCCAGATAACTCGCGAGAAGTTGGTGGGCCAAGGAGCACAACCCACTGAAGCCAGCGACAGCGTCAATGACTGGCCATTTAGCGCGATCGACCACGAATTCACGTCGAGTGCAAGCGCTCGAGGGGATGGCGGCGGCGCGCTGGACGGACCTGTGGAGACCGAGGAAGCAAGCCAAGTCGAGCTGCGTCCAACGTCGTCTCATGCGAACGTATTGCTTGAGCGAAAGGAATCTCGCGGTGTAAGCTCGATGCTGGAAACCGACGACGACGATGGCGGCGACATTCTAGCTCTGCACGACCAAATGATCGAGCACGAAAAGGCAAAGGCAGCAGCGCAGGACAGCGAAGTCGCTGGTGGCCACGACGTTGACAGCAGTCCTACGAGTTCCTCGGAAGGCATTGACGCAGCCATTTCCGTGCCCGAAGCGCCACAACAGCACAGCTCAGTGCCTGCAGAGCTGAATGCGAGCCCGCTGACGAGTGCGACCGCCCTGCCTACCACGGAATCGGTGCAAATTGAACCGACTGGCGACTCTCCCTCTATGCCTCGTCCCAATGAAAATGGCGCACAACCACTACCAGTGGAGCGACCAGAGATGTCGGATGCCATGGAGACGAAATCCTCGTCACCCACGGACGCTCCACCTGCAAATCAAACCTCCCACGACGAAGATGATGCGGTGGTACCGACGGCTGCAGTCCCTTGGGGTCTGCCCAACGACGGATGCAAAACCCCCATAACACTGGAAAGCGCTGGAGCTGACGGAATCCCCTGCACAGACACACCTGAAGGCGCCGTCGAACTCAACGGCGCCCATGCTAACTCGACCGAAGTCCATGCCAGCGAGATCCCTGCGATCGCCACAGGTGATTCGCAAGTGAAACAGGATGATTCCACGACGGCTGCCGTGCCATCGGCCCCAATTGACGTGCAAATCTCTCCTCAACTCAAAGACGAGGAGGAAACGACAACGAATGAACTTGGCGCAGCGACGCTCCCCCTTGGGACGGAGCAACGCATTGCATCGAGTCAGAGTCCACCTGAATCTGAAGATGCAATCATTTCCCCTGAACGGGTGGCCACGGCGACGGACCCACCGCATTCAGCTCGTTCCTCTCCAACCCCACCAAAAAGTCGTCCTGCCACCGCCGAGAGCAGTGGTGCCACAGCTGCGAAAGACCAGCCAGCCCCAGACCCAGCGCCTTCATCGTGGGTGGAAGCGTACGATGCTGACCGAGGCTTGACATACTACTACGACCCAGCGACGAAAGCTGTGTCCTGGGATCATCCTGGTGGATTGGAGAAGGCGCTCGTCCCTGGCCCTTTCGGCAACTTTACCGAACTACCCGGTGCGACAACGTTGACGGCAGATGCACCTCCACCAGCGCGTCCTTCGTTGAGTCCTCGACTCGAGCTTGGCGCGACTCCGCAACTCAGCACGCATGCACCAAAGGACGACATACTCATCCACCCCGCACTCACGCACGCAGCGCCGACCACTTCCTGCACGGACCCATTCCAGCCATCCGATTTGATACACATGACGAAGCTTCAACCGTCCTTGACCAAGCCGTCCCCGCGTCCACAGTCTGCGGCACCAACTCCAGACCTAGAACTTCATGTGGCTCAAGAGGCGGCCTCTATTGCAAGCCGACCAACAAGCCCGTCCCCGCCACTTCCACTGAAACCATCCACTCCAACTTTATTACAGCAGCAGCGATCCCGCCGTCGCATGGCGGAAGCCGCGCGCACTCAGGCGTGGGCCCGAGACGTGGCATCGTGGCAGCGCCTCTACAACGAAGCATCCAACCAGTACCATGCGCTAGTCGAACAAATGCAAGAGTCGGTCGCGACGCGGGAGGCGGCTGTCGCGCGAGAGGCGGGGGATCGAGACATGCGGAAGCGGCAAGTTGCCGCGTTGCTCAGCCACAGTGCGATCGAGCACTTGTCTCCGTGGGAAATCCTGTCTCGGAATCTGGTCGGTGTCGATCTCAAGCGGGTGCTACAGGAAATCATCGACGAACCGGCCAAACATCCTGACGTGCTCCCGTCCTCGGCGTGTTTATCCAAGCCCGCAGCGACACCCGCCGTGGTCCAGCAGGAACTCATGCGCGTTCGAAACGAGGTCGGCGACTCGCTGCTCCATCTCGCTGTGTGGAAGGGGTCTCTCGTCAAGGTCAAGCACTTGCTCTCGCTTGGCGCGGACGTCAACCTTGTCGACAACAGCATTACGCAATGGACACCCCTCCACGAAGCAGCGCGGTCTGGAAATGTCTCGATAACCAAGCTCCTTCTCAGCGCCGGCGCCGCCATCGCAGCCACGGACGCGTCAGGTGACACAGCGCTACACTGGGCATGCCGTGCCAACCACTCGACCATCGTCAAAGTCCTCCTCCACGCGGACCCGGCGTTCGCCACACTCAGCACCATCAACCACAAGCGGAAGACGCCGCTCGACCTGGCCAAGAAGCCCACGTTGCGCCGATTTCTCCAAGGTATCGAGCGCGCTCCGCTTCTCACGCGCAGTTCATTGGCGTCCTCACGGAAGTGGCATCGACGTGTGTAGACATTCTCGCCATGCATCGCGCCAAACCAATTTCACTGTCCACTGCGCGAAGCACTGGAAGCACGTCCATGCTGCTCAAGTCGGGCCGGTCCGACAAGTCGGCGCGGCACATCTACCCATCGGCTGGACATCACGTATAAGCATGATCAAGCACTGCGTTGCACACCCACATCGCCAGGCTGAGAGTTCCAGCAGCTAGCTTGGCAACTCGTGCGGCCAGCGAGTGCGCGGGCAGCCCAGGGCCGGTCGCCACCGTCCTGTCCAAGGAGCTAGGTCGACAACACCATTCTACATGGGACGTTCTCTTTGGATGTGTCTACGGTCTTACAAAATGGCGCACGACTTGAAGAAGCTCGACGACGACGCCTTGACTGGGCCCCGTCGATGCCGCGCCTCGACGACGAACTGCTCAAAAACTGCGTTCACGTTGGTGCCCGTGAGCGCGCTGGTTTCAATATATACGGCGTTGTACGACTTCGCCACTCGCCGCCCTTCCTCGCTCGTGACTTGGCACTTGGACGGGTCCTGTTCGACCAGGTCTTTTTTGTTGGCCACGACAACGATCGGGGGCAACGACTTCTTTGTCTCGTTGATCTGTAGGTGTAGCTCAAAGAACGCATGCAGTTCGTGCAGACTCGTGCGCGAGTCCATCGCGTACACGAAGATGTATCCGTCCTTGCCCATCATCCACTGCGGTCGCAGCGATTCAAAGTCGTCTTGGCCCGCCGTGTCGAGGATCTCGAGCATGCATAGTCGATTCGACACCTCCATCGTTTTTCTGTACGCGTCTTCGATCGTGGGGTCCCAGTCCTGTACAAAGTAGTCCTTCACAAAGCGCAGGGTCAGCGCCGACTTGCCCACGCCGCCGCTCCCCAAAACCGACACGTGAAACGTTTCTTGGCCAGACGATCCTGCTGCCGACGACGACGATGCGGGGAGAGATCGGTAGAACGCTTCACCGCACGACACGTACACATGATCGTTGTTCTGCAATTCGTCGACACTCTGGACTTCTGCACCGGACGCGAGAAAAAGCCGCTTTGCACGAATGTTGAGCTTCTTGCTTGCTGCGGCTTTCAGCTTGGCGAGACTATCCGACTTCTTCATCGGCAGTACTCGTCCCTGTGAGCCAGCTTCATTCTTATACAAAAACAGTCGCACTTCCATCCTGATATGCGCTCAGGACCTTCTTCGCCGAGCTGTCGGTGCCGCTGCCTGTGCCGCCGATTGCTGATTGCCGAAGTTCAGAGGGAATGGGTCGACAGGTGTTCAGGAATTCGAAATAAACCGTACCACCAGCACAAGCAACATATAAAAGTCAAGCTTAAATCCGACATCGAGAGATGTGCATAAGCACTGTTTTAAATTCCTGAGACTCCAACCTCATACGGCAGTAACAGAGTTATCCGGATGAATTCCCCATCGTCATTATAGAATCGTGCACACGGTGAGGCGCTTCTTCCGCGGCGGCCGGCGGAGCTTCTGCTGCCGAACCTTGCGCACAATCTGTTCGAAGATGGCAGTGACGTTCTTCCCTGTGAGTGCACTTGTCTCAACGTAGTGAGCCTTGAACGCGACCGCCACTCGGTGGCCTTCTTCCCTCGTGACTTGAAGCCGCCGGGGGTCGTCCTCAACTACATCGCGCTTGTTTGCGACGAGAACAATAGGTGGCATCGGCCGCTTGTACTCGTTGATCTGCTGATACAGCTGGAAGAACGGCTGCAGTTGATGAAGGCTTGACCGCGAATCCATCGAGTACACCAGCACGTACGCATCTCGGTCCGTCATCCACTGTGCACGGAGCGACTCGAAATCATCTTGCCCTGCTGTGTCCAAGATCTCGAGCATGGCCAGTCGGTTGTCGACTTCGAGCGTCTTGCGATATGCATCTTCGATGGTTGGGTCCCAATCGCTCATGTAATAATCCCGGACAAAGCGCAGTGTTAGCGCCGACTTGCCAACGCCACCGCTGCCCAAGACAGACACCTGCATGAACTCGTGGCCAGTCGTCGTCGTGGCCGCGGCAGCTCTGAAGAACACTTCGCCCGCCGACACATACAACGTATCGTTGTTTTTCACTTCATCCATTGACGTAACTTCCGCACCCGATTCCAGAAACAGCATCTTCGCTCGAACATTGACCTTGGCACCGCATGCAGCCTTGAGCGTCGCCAGTGAATCCGAAGACTTGACCGTCACCCCCCGCGCCTTCGACCCTGCTTCGTTCTTATACACGAGTACTCTCATCTCTTTCATCCTGGTTTGGCGAGTGTTCTGATGTGAAGGCGACTCGACTCCATCGTCCATGACTCAACCTCATCGTCCATCCCGTCAGGCTTCTACGCGAACGGGACATGAGCCTAAACGAAATTCAATTTGATTGGATAAAATAATCAACTTGACGCGACATGATTGGTCATATCTCTTCAAAATTACCAAATGTGACCCTGATGGCGTCCCTTCGAAGGGACGCCTTCCGACGTCCAGGCCAAGAGCTTCAGCCATCAGGAAGGGCTCGGCACAGCTATACATGCCTTCCCACTCTCCACGTGCGTGCATGCGTGTGCTGTACTGTTCTATCACTGTTTAGCATTGGGAGCTCAGCAAGGTAATTGTGTCGCTGTAATTGGTTGAAATCGCACACAACTAGGATCTCTGATTGGTCAGATGACGCATTTCCAACTCCACCACAACTCCAGGAACTGCATCGAACGGCACCGTCATGTCGTTCGCTCCGCGACTTGTCCGCCGGCTTGTTGGGCCCCACAGACCTTCCTCGAGGCGACTCTTTCATGCAACGTCATTGCTTCAGTACGACTCTTATGGTTATTGTGATCTCATACAACCTTTCAACAGGCATGGCGGCAGTCACGTCGCTGCCAACGGTCCGACAGTCCCATTGAAATTCCGCTTGAAAGACGGGTCAATCAAGGTGGTCGACGCCGCGATTGGCGCGTCCATCTTGGACGTAGCTCACAAGTATGACATCGACCTCGAAGGTAGAGTAATCTGTCCTCACAGCACACTCACGTTGGAATGCTCCAGGCGCATGTGAGTCGTCCCTGGCGTGTTCTACTTGTCATGTCATCATCGAAGACGATCTCTTCGACAAACTCCCTGAGCCTTGCGAAGAAGAAGAAGACATGCTGGACTTGGCGTTTGGTCTCACTGCAACGTACTCATCCTTGCTGTCTTGCATCATCTCACTTGTTTCCACAAACAGATCGCGACTGGGCTGCCAAGTGATGGTGTCAAAGGACATGGAGAATTCAGTGGTACGACTCGTCCTGGTTATAAAGGAGATCCGAACGTCGTCTCTTGAGTAGATTACCCTCCCGTTGGCGACGCGCAACTTTTACGTTGACGGCCATGTTCCGAAGCCGCATTAGATGACATGTCGTGTTATGGTTAGATGCAAGCCCCATTGCGAAATTGAGTGCCTGGCGCCATGCTTCGGCTCGTGTATCTGTTGAGCACACTTCGAGTTTTCTCTGGATTGATGAGTGGGCCGGCGCACAGTCCTCAAACTCTCATCTCATGAACTTCACTGCCGGGGTGGGTGTGCGGTCCACCTGCGACTTGTGTACCTGCGCCGCGCCATTCGAACATGCCAAATCCAACCCATGCATACATGTGGTGAAGCGAACGATATCGCTCGCATGGATGGCCATTGACTCATTTCAGAATTCCGCTTGTGCGACTTGCACCGGCCAAAGGCACTAGAACGTGCAAGTCGAATTGATGCGCCACTTGAGCAGCAAATGCCGAGCACCTTGGGCCGCCCAGCATCATTTCAACGTCGCCTTCGTCAACTCCACATGTAACGAGCTCGTGTAACGGCTTCCGTAAGGGTGCCGCCTGTCAAAGAGGACGCGATGCTCGCTGGCGAACAGACGACGGTGCCAACGACGCCAGGGGGCGGCGATCTCTCGGCACCTTTCACAGACACGCATGGTGGTCCGACCTTCCCTCTCACGACGGCAGTCGTAGTACCTGCGGCAACATCTCCAGCAAAGTCGAAAACAGCCCATCTTCGTCCTGGTGCGGTCCACTGGCCAGACATTGGTGCCCAGTTGAAATCTCATGTCGAAACGGGGCTGACGAAAGCGTATCAAACCATCCTGGAGCTGCAGGCGGAAGGCCTCGTCCAGGCGACGATAGCCAAGTCGATAGAACCAGTCGCGATCGCCCACATCGAATCCCACCACAAGAACGTGACGGCCCGCCTCCAGGCAGTCGTCGCCGATACCCTGACACAATCCAACGCGACCATCGACAGCGCCATCAAGTTACTGCAAACCGAGTACGATGCCCAGCGAAGCGTTGTGCACAACGAGATCAACGCCCACAAACACACGACCGACCAAGCGTTGAAGCGGACACGCCTTGCCATGGCAAAAGAAGCGCAGCGGGTCACAAGCCTCGAATCGTGCCTTCGCCGACATGAGATACACGTGCTGGAGGCTCAACATCAAGAGCGCATCCAAGCGCTCAAAGACGAAATGGCGGCCAAGGAGGCTGCGTAAGTGCTCCCTGTTGCCTTGTTGCTGGGTCCTTATTCGTTGCGGACTTGGTTCTGTCTATTCATCGAAGTGGGCAGCCATGGCCAGCATGTCTTCTGTCTTCAAAACAAGTCGGTGTTGTCTGGGCTGCGCTCGTTGCATGCATAACCACCACTACAGACTTCCTCACTGCCACTGCCGTTAGCCATGCCGACGTGCTACTTCGCCAGAAATCGGCCTTTGTCGACATCGAGCGCTTCAGTAAAAAGCTTCAAATTGCCTTGGATGACGCGCTGTTGGAAATTGACCGAATGAAGAAGCTCGACCAGCAGCGCCACACCAACATCACGGCCGTGACGACCATCTCCGAGTCGTACGTGAATTCGCTGCGGCATGCCGTGACGATCGCGAACGAGCACACCGAGCAGTACGCCAACCATGCCATCCATGACCTGCACACACATATCTTTTGATCGCCTGGTGGCATCTCCAGGATGCGCTTGGACTTGGAGCAACAGACCAAGGAAAAAGAAGCCCTCGAGCGCGTGAAGCTGGGGCTGGACGAGGCCGTGGTGCGACTAACCCACGATGCCAAGGTGGCCCGGGAATTGCTGGCCGAGTCGGCGCGCGAATTGGTCGCGTTGCAAGGTTCGTCCTACCGGTGGCGGTGTGAAAATCACAGACGTCGACGACGTGTGGCTCTCGTGCAGTGGCTCAGTGGCTTTCTTTCTAGATGTCCAGGTCACAACTGCCAAGGAGCTTGCAGGGTGCCATTTGACCATCCAAGACTTGAAAAATCGCGTGGATAAAGTCACTGTCCGTGAGCCCCGCGCAGGGCATCGCCGTGAATTGTGGCAGGTCTAACTCGCGATGGCCATAGACCGAACTGAACGCGCAAACGGACCTCGTGCTCGCATGCGACGACTGCGTGGCAGACTTGAGGAACCAAGTGGATAGCCATGCCAACCACGTCCTCAAGATCACCGCCGAGCATGCGCAAATGCGCGAGAGGTGGGACGCCGAATCGTCGCGACTCCATCAAGTGCACGCCGCCGACCGCGCCACGATCGAAGCGTTGGTTGGAAAGTTGGCGCTGCTTGGTTACGACAAGAACACGTTGGAGATATACGTCCCACGTAGCAGTTCAAGCACCGCATCGTCCCAGCCATCACCTTCTCGAACGGCGACAAGTGGGGCGGCCCCCGCTTCCACAACCGTTCCTACTCCTATAACGGGCCAACCGCGACGACCGTCCATGGCGTCGGATGCCGCCGTCGGCACACGGTGTCATGCGACGTTGCGGCACCACAATCAATATGACAGCCTTGTGAATGTCCTCCAGCGAGAAGCGATTGGATTGCCAGAGGAACATGCCCAGCGGCTCTTTGACATGGAAGCGTCCGTTCGCGAGAGCGTCACTGCCCAGCTCACGTACGAATTCAAGCGCACCTTTTCCAAGCAACTGCGCCAGCGCATGCAGCAAGAGAGGTTTTTCGTCCTGGAGAAGTTCGACAGCATTATTGCAAAGTCGCTCGTGGAAGAGCGCGCGGCCAAGCAACTTCTAGCCAAGCAAGCCAAAGCCGTCGGTCGCAAGGCGTCGCTGCGCTGCGTACCAGAAACCACCATGACGCTGCGCAAGGTCAAAGCGACCATTGCCCAGGCGTACGACGCCATGGGCGTGATCGAGTGGAACGGCGAGGATGTCGCCGAGATGAAGCGGCAAGTCGCAGCCGTGACGAAAGAAAACGCTGATTTGGCGGCTACCGTCGTCGAATTGGAAGGCAAAGTCGAAATCCAGCTGCTTAGTCTAGCCGAAGCGGAGCTGTTTCAAAAGGAGCGCGACATGCTCCTCGTTGAGCTGACAAAAAAATTCCACGATGCCAAGGACGAACTCGCTCACGTCAAGCGCCATCACAATCCGCCGCCCTGCGAACACGACCACGGCAGCAACCAAGTCGGCGACGCCGCGTGCAACGTGCGTCTTGTTGTGCAGGGTCAACTGCCTCACATGGAGCAACATCCCCGGCGTGCCGTGCGATCGACGGATTTGGCCAGCCATGCCGTGCGACCCCAGTCGGCGGCGGCGGCATCGACACCGGCCAAAGGGACTAGCTCCGTCTCAGCGGTGGCAAAGAAGCCGCGACCAGCAACGTCTCGCGGTGCGACAGCGTCCACCAAGAAACAGTCCATCCTGCCATCGACCCACCAAGGTGGTCCCCACCATGACCACCATGCAAAGACACAACCCGAGCATGTTCGAAGTGCGATGAAATGGGAGCTGCTGGGCGAGCGGAACGACAAGGAGTCCAGTCCACAGGAGGACATTGTCGTGGCCAGTGCATGGGTCGGTGAGGCTGGGGTACGTCCCATCCTTGTGCCATTCAACCTGCGTCTGCCTGCGTGATGGATGCTCCTGGCCGTAGATGAAAACCATTCTCGATCGCCGACGGAAGCGCAAGTAGGTGGTGTGGTACCGACGACGACGTCGGGGAAAGAGGCGCCAGTGCCCAACCCTCGTTTGGATGCTTTCCCCATACCCATAGTTCTCGTGTACATACACATTATCTTGACGTTCGACCACACTACATAGTTGTTGCGCAGTGGCGACGAAACTGCGGCGCGGAATGGCGAGTCCATCATGGCAAGGCGACCCTGTCTCGGTGGCTCATGCCCAGCGAGAGGCCAGGGCAAGCTAGACGCCCAAGAATTACTCTACACGCACAACGTCGTGCAGTGGATTTAGGCAAAGCGTACTTCATATCATCCAGACACTCGTGGGCGACATGTGCAGTGCCCGAGTCGAACCAACAATGTGCTCATTGTCTCCACAGCCCGCCACGTAATTGCAAAATCGGCGTTGGTGGAAGCGTACAATTGAGCTGGTCGTGGCGGGTAGTACCCCTGCAACCAAGCAGGACGCGGGAAAAACGTCCCGTTGCCCGGTCACCCTGGTTACGCCCCGCAGCGTCGTGATATTCCGTTGAGGTTAGCGCAAGATGGGGTTCTAATCCCGGTCATGGCGATCGATGGCAAGCCGTCCTGGCGGTTCCTTGGCACATCAAGTCGCCCGTCAACGTGAATCGCGCCACCGACGACCCGACGATCGCGCTTGGCGCCAATGGTCAAGATCACATTCGTATTTGCCTCGTCAACAGCGAAAACACTGTCGTCGTTGAAACGTGCTGACGCCCCAGTCGTCGATTCCCGCGACTCCAAACGCCCCGCCGGCGAGTAGGACGACTTCGTGTTTGACGAGGGCGCGTCCAGCGATGGACTGGTGTGGCGCTGTTGGTCGAGTCCACTCTTTTCCACGCTACAACCACAGGACGGTTGCTTCCGATGATCACTTTACCAGCCGCCGCTGCGCAAGTCCGGACTTCAAGTCGAGTCGCCGTTGTAGGTGCTTGCTTACGGACTAGCAGGCTTCGGCACGACGTTGAGCGACGACCCCAGCGACCACGGAATTCTTGCCACAGTCTCTTCGACAAGTCCGCCTCGCGAAAGGATCCACAGCCCACGAGCTACCTCGTTGAGCCTCTCGTGCAGTTGTCGAGTCGCACGGCGAAGAGGTGCGGGGTTGGCTGTCGTCGACATTGCAGCAGCTGACCCGAGCCAGCGACCACGCCTCTAAAGAAGGCATTGCCAGCGTCAAGGAATGTCTTTTCATGCTGCACAAGGGCATGCTCTCGACGAAAGCAGGCAAGATCATGGAGATCGCAGTGTCATGTCGGTCGCACGCCATCTTCACGGTGCTCCTCAAGCAGCGGGCCACGACGCCGAGCAAAGTCGTTGGCCAAGGGGCTCCGGTTCAAAGAAGGCATCGACATGAACAAGATGCGCCTCGCCCTCGGCAATGTGATCAAAGAGCGCACCGTCTCGCGATGCGCACGAAGTGGCTCCAACATTCTCTTGGCGACACAGCCCGACGTTCATGCTCGTTTGCGTTCACCCTGGCACCGCAACATCAGCCAAACCCCTCCACTTCCTCGAGTGTGCGGCGCACCTGCAACAAAGTCGTCATCAACCACACAAACGACGCTAATGACGCCAGACCAACCCTCATGACGACCACAGAGTCCCAACTTCGTGTCCAAGTCGAGCGGCGTCTGCTAGAACGAGATGCGCTCCAAGCTGAGCAACTGGTCCAATTCCAGAATTCGAACGACCCTCAAGCCCAAAGAGAGGCGGATGGGACGACAGCACATCGTCGACCCCGTCGATTTCACACACGCTGTGATGTGCCATTTTACATGGAGATGCCATCGGCATCAAGAAAACCGTGGACGATCTGGCTGTGGGAATTGGCGTACCACACATAACCCCCAGCAGTGAGCTGGGGGTCCTGTGCCCCTTACAACTTGTCGGAGGCAAAATTATTAGCCCACGGCGTCCGTGTGCCTCGCCGCCGTGCGTAAGATCTCGTTTAACGTTGCTCACGGTGCAGGATTGATCCATCGAAGTAGCCCCGTCGACTCGCCATCGTTGAGCTAAGTATAGCGCGCTCGATATAGCCTCGAATGAGCCGTTCGTCGGTTCTGTTCATGGTAGAAAATATCCCTCCTCACGAGCCCCTTCGTCACGCGCCGTTCATTTCAAAAAGCACCGCGAACCATGCTCAAGACGTCGCTACTCGTCGTCGTCGGCGTTGCCCTTTCAGTCGCCTGTGTCGCCCATGCTCAGCACGACCAAGGCAACCTCCCCGCCGACTTTGACTTTCCCCAACCTTGGGCTGACATCGACGCCAACGAGTACATGAAGGAACTCAAGGAGCGCATTGAAAAATTCAGAAAACAGCGCGAAGACGACGGCAACTTGTAGACAACCAACATGAAATTCAACATGATGCTAAACTCTACCTGTCATCTCGCGCCGTCACTGTTTTACGAAGTATGCCGATGTACAAGAGCTTATCAACGCTGGCAGTGCAGCGCTAGCTTGCAGAACCACAGCGGCGACGAACGGGGCTGGAGCTTGTGTACCTGTTTGCGCCGCGAAGAGTCACAGCAGTTTCGATCAGTTACAGCGGTTTCACATTCTCCAGGCGACTTGCGTTGAATTAGTTTTGGTTTCGCCAGCCACCACCACCACCTCGACATTTCGTTGCCATGCAAAAGTTCGTCGTCCTCGCTGCCATGCTCGTTGCCGTCGTGACGGCCCAAGGCGGCCTCAACTTTGGCGACGACAACAACGAATTCCTCCAACGCATCAAGGATCGCATCCGTGCCCTCAAGGAAGCGCGTGAAAACAAAGAAAGCAACCGAGTCTAAGCGAGGTCGTAGCTAGCTCGTGATGCCCCTCGTTGCCATGCTTCATAATGCTGTAATGCATGCCGTTCACGAATTGCGAGCTCTATCGAGCTGGAGTATGTCGTGACAACAGAAACGTCGGTGCTGCAGAGCTTGCACAAGCCTTTAGAGCCTCGCGCTGCCCTAGATTTCTCGACGAATTCAACCTACGAGCACGGATCTGTCTAGCGACGTCCAGCCATTCCGCATGGCAGTGGTGTTCCAATCGACCAGGACAGTCGCTGCCATGCACCTCACACATGGATGAGTTGGAGAACGTTGACGGCAGAAGAGGGCTACAAATCCAATCCGTGTGCTCGGGCGTGTTCTCCAGTTCCCGACCACCTTCAACTCACACCTGAAAACGTGGGCGAGAGTTGGCGATTTTCCTTGGATAAAGCTGTGGAGCGTCATGCTTATCTCAAAGCGTACCGTCGACCCTTGGGAGCCACGCAAGCATACAGCCATCTACCTCCTGATGCCTCCGTCAGCGGCGCCGCCGCGTCAAAAAGAAGTCATAACTGTCTCTAAGTAGTTTAAATATTTTTGTCGAAAAAGAAATACTATCTCAAGTTTGATTGGATGAAACACAGAATGCAGGTCCTACGTTGGAAATCGACATGAACACGTCGGGAGACACCACGAGCCAGCACGTCCAGGAACTGGATCGCGTCCTCCTTCGCCTGGGGCTCGCAGATGACACCAAGATCTGCGACGTCCTTCGCCTTCTGCTTCCGCAACTGTTCCAACGTCTCATTCGTACACCGTCAGCGGATGTCTCGTCGAAGGTGATGGAATTCATCACCCGTCTTGTCGAGTCCTGACGTGTTGCGCGCACAGATCCTCGAAATCTTGAGTCACCTCGTCAAGAGACTCAAATCGCTTCCAACCATTCAAATCGCGCTACCCGTCGTGGCGCTCCTTCCGTATTTGGACCCTGCGCCGTCGGACGACGTTCCAGCGCTGCACGTAACATACGCGCGCAACTTTTCACTCCTGTTCGTGGAAATGGGTTTCGGGGGCAATCTTTCCAACGATGACAAGGCTATTGTTCTCACGACAATCGTGCGCGGGATGGCAACTCGGTCCCCCGCGTACCAAGATGCAGTGTTTCGTATGTTCATTCACGCATTCCTCCGACAAGACACCCCTGTCACGTTGGACAACACGTCACTGTGGAGTTGTCAAGACGTTGCCGTACTTCTCGATTTCTTCCTCGACGTCATGCTTTGCCCTTCGACGTCACAGTCACGTCCACGCACTGAACGACTCGCGCGCACAAAGGTTGCAACTCTCGAACCTGCCTCGAGAACTGACGTCCAGCTGAAGCTCGTGCAATTTCTCAAACTCCACTCCACGTCCTCGTCCAACTTGGACGCGACCGTGTGGTTCGCTCACATGGCAGCGGGGGCGGCGGCAGACCACCATTCGATATCCACCTACTGCCAAGAGGAGCTGTCGCGACTCATCAAGTATCACCATGAGGCGCTGGACACCGCAGCTGCCATCACGCCGCTCTGTCACTTGATACTTGGCTCGCAAATGCCTTCCGTGGACGGTGGAGTGACCTTTCTCGACCGCCAGCCCATACCTGACTTGGTCGCTCTGGCAGTCGTCCCTCTCCTCGTCCAGGTCAAGGCTATCGCCACAGATGGGTTCCCGCTCAACTTGCAAGTCATTTGCACCTTTCTCTTTGGCGACAACCCCCGCCGACCCCGCGTCGTCAAGACCAACATCCGCAAAGCTGGCATGGACTTGTGTGTATGGGTGCTTTCACACACCACAGACGCCATGCTCCAAGCAGCGCTCGGTCCTGTGCTCTTCTCGCCGCTCCTAAAGCTCCTCTCCGAAGACGGCACCACGACAGACGAGTCTCCCACCGTCCTCCACGAACGCAAGGTTGGCGTGTACTCTGCCTTCTCCATTCTGGCTAGACGATTGCCAGCTCTCGTCGGCGCTTCCTCCGAAGCTTTCCAACGACTCATGCACCGCGCCATGGTTGAAGAAGAGCACGGACGATCCGGCAGCTCGTGCCTGGAAGCCCTCCGCACCGTTGCGATGGCGTATGTAGGCCCTCACGTACCCGCGGCAGTGGTCCAGACGATCAAGCAGGAGTTGGTTGACCTGGCTGCGTCATCGAAGATGCAGCAGGCGCAGTTTGATCGCGTGCGGGGAGTGTTGGCCCTGTGGGCGTCGCATTTACAGTTCCAAGGCGAGAATGCGCGAGAAGGAGGCGGGGACTTGTCCATGCGCCTCGTGTGCCTTCGATTCGCTGGCGACGGCAGTGAACAAGTGCGAGAACTCGCGCGAAAGGCAGTGTTCGAGACGCCGCTGCCGACCTTCCACGACACGATGACCGTCCTCGGGCCCCAGCTGAAGTCGATGGCAGACCAACGAATCGTGCTCGAGATGGCGCTGACATGGTGTGTGGCCAGCTTGCAAGCCGACGCGGCACCCACGGCATGCCACACCACCGACGTGCAAACTCTATGGGACACTTGCTTGATGCTCCTGACCGGCCCACACAAGGCCGCGGCCTCCAAAACGCTCGTGCAAGTTGCAAACGTAGTGCGCTTGGGGTCGTTTTCCGTCGACGACATGCGTGTGATTCGACACACGATGCTGATGGACACGGACGACTGCGTTTGCGAGCACATGGCGATTTTGTTGGCTTCGCAACCATTGCCAGATCACGAGCTCCATGACCTAGTGCAGGCACTGGCTGCGCTGCTCCAGAATCCTTCGACTCGACAACTTCACGTGGTTCGGCTAGCCACGTCATGTGAACGGCGCCATTACGGCGCGCTGTGCGGCCTTGGCATGCTTATGCGTTCCAACCCACACTATTTGCACAAGCACGACGTCGTCAATACGGTTGCAGCGACTCTCGCAGACCACTTGGCCACAATTCAAGACAACGCCGCGCTTTCCAACTACGACTACAACTTGCACAGTCAACTCGTGCTTGCCAGCATCCAAGCACTGGGAGCGATGGGGAACCTCATGGACATGGGAGGTGCTGCAATGTCAGTGCTTGAAGTGGTTCTCCGGGCGGTCCACCTGGCCCGTTCAACGTCCGACACGACCAATACCACGACTACGATTCGAATGCGGGCGATTCAGACGCTCGGGTGCCTAGTCTACGGTCTGCCACGGACATTTGCCGAGCACGTCACTGCCGCTGTCGTCGAAACGTTCAAGCGATTATCCAACTCGCGGGATGCCACCTTGCATTTTGAAGCGGCTAACGTGCTGGCTGCGTGGGGCCATGTTGTCGATGGGACGTTGGAGTCCGGATTGAAAGCTGTCGCGGCCTCGGAGCTACCGAATCGCGTCACTCTCGTACTCGACGTCGTCGTGGCAGGAGTTGCGTCCTCCTGTCCCCACGTGCGCAACAGCTCTGCCATTTGGCTGTTTGGCATCGTCGCGTCCATGCGGCAATCGCCCAAGGCGGGTGGATGGAACGAGTGGGCGCGGCAGCTGCCATTGAGGACACTGGAGCTGCATGAGCTATTGATCGACCTACTCAATGAAAAGACGACACTGACGCAAGAGTGCGCAGTGAAGGCGTTAGCCATGCTCTTTGACGGTGCCGCTCAACACGCTGGAGCCGAGACTACCCAAAAGAACATGAGCGACTCGCTCTTCAAACGACTGAAGTGCTTTCGCGCTTTCAATGACTCGACCACATCTCACGCAGGGTCTACATCACCGCCTGCAACATCCTCACCACCCGAAGGGACATCGTCCGCATTTGACGCCGCCGCCAACAACAACGCGATCGAAAACGCATGCTACCGCGAAGTGAGCAACGTGGCAGCCGACGTCGGTGATGCCAGCGTCATGTACACGCTGTTGTACCTCAGTGCCAACGACCCGATGTGGAATCTCCTTGACGATCTCTCCAAAGTCGGCGATCCAACGCTGCCGTCGGCGTCCCCTCTGCCCAAAGTCGCAGCGACAACGATTGCCAGCATGATTCGCCTGCCTCTGAACGTTGTGGCGACCGACCGGGCGTTTGGTGCAGCACAAACCCACAAAGCGCACGCAGAATGGCATGTGTCGACAATCGCCGTCTTGCTCGTGCCGCGCCTCTTCTTGCTCAAGCACCATCCCAACCCGAAGATCGGGAATTGCATGACGCAACTGTGGAAGGTATTGGTGCACGGAAGTGCAGCCACGATTGCCTCAACAACTCTTCCATCCAACCTGGACAAGGCCATGGCAACCCAGTTCTTCGAGCCCATCCTGAGCTATGCGTTGCAGAGATTGGAGTCGAGCCGTCATTTCAAGTACCGCGAGGCGGCGTGCAGCTCCCTTGTCGACATTTTGAACGGCCGTGACGGCGCGGACGTGCGGGACCATCTTAGTCGCGTGTGGAAGCTCGCGGCGCGGGCCATCGACGACGTGAGTGACACAGTCGCCGTGGCAGGTCCCCCTTGTCGTATATCAAAACGAAAACACCCACGCACACGTGTCGTAGGCATCAAACTAGTCAAGTGCTTGGGGGAACTAAGCGTACGTGTGTCCGCCACTGACTCTCGATGCCTGGACCAAGTGCTGCCATTTCTCGTCCGCGATGGCATCTCAGCCACCCACAAACTGTGTCAGATGCTGTGCATGGGGTATCTCTTGCGGCTCATCCAGTCGATTTCGCCCATCCACCTTCACGCATATCTGTCAACGCTCCCCGTCACACTCTTGGAGTGCATGTCGTCTCTGGAAATGCCAGAGCTCCAGTACGCTCAGTTCCATGTCCAAGACAAGCGGCAGCTTGAAAAGCTGCGTGTGTCGCTCAGCCAGGCGGGTCCGGTCGGCGAGCTCCTTCAAGCGTGTGTGGCGCAGCTGACACACCTCGCTCGTGAACATGGTACAGTTGCCAACCGAATTTGTGTTGGCCTCTACGTCGACTTGGCTTTTTCTTGTAGGCAGCGCCGCGATCCCGATCGTGCGCGACCTGTGTGACGGAATGTGCACGGTCTTGCGATCAGGCGTCGGCCTCAACACCCGTGTCGGGTCAGCCAACTTTGTGGCGACGCTCGTTGCTGACGTGCCGCTGGAAATGCGGCAAAGTGGTGGCGCGGAGAAACTCCTGTCGCGAATCTTTGTGCCGTACATTACCCACGCCGTCTTGAGTGAAACCCACGACTTTTACGAGTCGGACGACGGCGGCGGCGCGACTGTAGACGATGGGTTGCGGGATGGTCTGGTCGTTCGCGCGTATTGCCGCGCGGCGGCCTTTGTCGCCAAGCTGTCTTCGTCTCCCGCGGTCGCCAAGTACGTTCGAGGCATCCTCGCCGTCCCATCGACGATTATTCAGGGGGCCGACGGTGGCGCCAGCACCACCGAACAAGGTTTCGGGCGGTATGGCTGGGTCACTGTGACCGCGTTGCAAGAATTGCTGACTCAGCTCCCGCCCTCGTCGTCGGCGGACACAACCATGACAGATTGGTGCATCGACGTGTTTCCTATCGTGTACGTGAGTCAGTATTCGTCGCTGCCGTCGCTGCGCGCCGCGTGGAAGGCCGTGGTCGACGTAATTCCTCCCACATTGCAATACTCGCCCTTGTACGCACAACGAGCCCTCACGTACGCGTGTGACTTGCTGTCCCATTTGTCGTGGGAGTCGCGAAAGCAAGGCGCGTCTGCAATCCTCGCGCTGGCGTCGTCGACCGAATACGTGAAAATCATTCGAGAATGGTCCCCCGCCGTCGAGAAGATCAAGTCTGCGATCCCAGGACGACTGTGGCGAGGCAAAGGCATCTTGCTGGAGGCGCTCGGGGCCACCTACGACTTGGTCGACGATTCCCCGAGCAAAGACATCGTCGCAGTGCTTGTCGACGAATGCGACCGCGCGATTCGAAACACGGACATGGCGTATTTGGAATGTGCGATCGTCAGTCTTGGGTCTCTCGGAGGCAAAGCACGCTCGATCGCGTCGTTTGAGGTATTGAAGCGCTTCTTCTTTGACACACCACGTCCCACGGACCTGCCACCCCTGATTCGAAAGCGCATGTTTGACACACTTGGACAGTGGTGGCCAGTCGAGGCCGATGCGGTCGATGGCGCGTCCTCTATCAGCGCGACTCACGTCTTGATGTGGCTGTGCGTCGACGCTGCTGCAACTTTCCACGTGTGGAGTGTCCGGGAAGCCATGCTGCGTTGCTTGGCGCAGATCTTGTCGCGGGCAACGTACAACGCCTTGGACAATCGCAAGACGATGGAAGCGATTGCCACGACTTGTCAACATGGGATGGGCGATGCCAAGTACGCCAGTGTCCGTCGAGCTGCTCTCGACGCGCTGGTCGCACTTGCACGTCGACGCAACGATGCAGGCATGCCTCTCGTTGCGCTCGTTCCGTACAAAGAAGACTGGATCGCGGCGGCCACCACCCTCCTCCACGACGCAGAACCGTCTGTGTGCCATGCCGCGTCGCAACTCGTGGATTGTTTGCGCTCGATTCATTACTGACGTCATGCCTAATACGATGTATCAACCCCTTGACGGACGTAGCAGGTCCGCCCCTCGGTTGTACACGAGGTGCCGTCCGTGCAGATCGCACGCCTTCTCTCACATTCGCACACACACACACACACACACCCTTCTGTCAAGGCGCGGTTGTCTTGGTGGCAAGTGGCTTTGGTCGGGGAGCCGCCGTGATCGACCACGTGGCTGTCACCATCGCGCCGTGTGTTCTGTGGATGCCACGTCGTCGAGTGCACGCGCTCCATCCTGCCAAACGCTCTGCCCCCGGATGAACCATGCGCCATGGACGAGCGGATCGATTTCTTCGCCCGCCGTCCTCGCAAATCCATGCGACGACGATCCATGCCCGTCGACCGCGACAGTCAGCGCCACACGGCAACTGCGACCGACTGCCGGCGTCGTGCTATCGAACCGGCCAGGCAACGACTCGTCCTTCCCGTCAATGTCGCGAGAGTTTGGTCATGGGGGGGGGTCGAACGACCCACGTCCCCCTCCCATCGTGTGATGGTCCAGTCGGGTGCAGCTCCGATAAAAAGTATCGAGCAACAGGGCGACGGGTCGAGGCGAGGCCCCTGTGTGCATGCGCCACGTCTCGACAGCTCGTTCTCGTGGATCGATTGGCGCGAGGTGGGACGAACAACGAGGCGGCGGCCATCCCGGCATTGCCATTTGCAATCAGCCCTACCCCGGTGCCACACGTTGAAGTGAGGGCTGCTACCACGTGGGAGATGGGAAGCAACCACTGCTTCGTGTCGACGGCAGCCTTCGTAATCGAACAGCCGCAAGACCCACGGCACCACTCTTGCTGGCGCATCGTCCGAGGAGCTTTTCCATGGGTGCATGGTCCAACCAAAAAATTGGGGCGCGATCGCTGCTGCTGCTGTTCGTCCTTGCGACATCCATGATACTGTTGAAACACTGGCACGTAGTGGCAGACGAACAACTTGTACTGGAACAGTGCATCGCATCGACAGCACGAGAGGGGTAGTCGATGCATGGGGTCGCCTCGTTCGCGTCCGTCCATGGCGGGCTTCCGCGCCAGGCAGGCCGGTGCGGCAACTCTATCTCTTCCTCGGTGACAGCAGGAGCTGTCTGTCCAGCAACTACCGGAACCGCATCGATACAGATGTGGCTGGTCCGCGCTCCCAGTAGAGATTCCCGGACCCGTCGGCTCGGGCCTCCTTCACGATGCCCCGACCACGGCGCTTTCGACAGCAGCACGCCCCTCGTCATCCCTCTGCCAACCGTGCCATGATTCTTCCGTCGAGCCACACTCGTCCGTCGCACGAGTTGACGGGGGTAGGGTTGAATGCAAATCAACGGCGGACGGCACTTGGCGACAGTTGAACGAGCCGACGGGGTAGGGCTGACTGCCCATCACGTGCCCCCGTGGCGTGCAGCCACGTGGAACGAGGTAGCTCTGTCGTCGGTATGCCCTCGACGCGGTTCTTGGCTCGCCCACGACATTTTCCAACTCGCCACCGTCGACGCCAGTCCAACCATGGTGGCTGCTGCGCCTGCATCGAACCCGCACGTCCGCACGGCGGGCGATTTCACGTACGAAGTGTACGACATCGACTTTTCAATGCACCGCGAGCATCGCGACAAGCTCGTGCGTCGCATGGCCGCGCTGCCGTCGCTCGCGCCGTCGTCGTTTGCTGTCCTCCACGGCGGGTCCGAAGTCAGCGAGTACGACCAGGACACGATGGTGCCGTTCCAACAAGAAAGCATGTTCCAGTACCTGTTTGGGGTGAAAGAGCCCGACTGCGCCGGCGCGATTGATTTGACCACAGGTCGGGCCATCCTGTTTGTTCCGCGGCTGTCGGCCGAGTGGGCGATTTGGTGCGGCGACCGCAAGCCGCTCGATTGGTTTCGCTCGCACTACGGCGTCGACGACGTGTTGTATGCCGACGACATGGCGGCGGCGCTCGACGCCCGCGGCGCCAAGACTTTGTTCGTGCTGCGCGGCGTAAACCTGGACAGCGGCCGGACGACGACAACGACGTCGACGTTCGCTGGCATGGACAAGTTTGTTGTCGACACGGCGGCGCTGCACCACGAACTGGTCGAATGCCGCGTGATCAAGACCGAGAAGGAGCTCCACTTGCTTCGCTGGATCAACAAGCTGACGTGCGAAGCGCACGTCCAAGTCATGCGCACGATCGTGCCGGGCATGATGGAGTACCATGCCGAAGCAACGTTCCTACACACGTGCCACAGCAAGGGCGGCGCCCGCTTCCAAGCCTTCACGTGCATTTGCGGCAGTGGCCACAATGCTGCTGCCCTCCATTACGGCCACGCCGGAGCGCCCAACGACAGCGTGCTGGCCAACGGCGACATTTTCCTCAACGACATGGGGTCGTCCTACCACGGCTACGTGTCAGACATTACGTGCACGTTTCCCGTCAACGGCATGTTTACGGCAGACCAGGCGTTCATTTACAATGGTCGGGCATCGCCATCCTCGTCGTCGTTGTCGCTTACCCTTCCTGCGTAGGTGTGCTCGACGCTCACAATGCTGTCCTGGCCGCCATCAAGCCGGGCGTGTTGTTTACGGATCTCCACATCCTTTCCCACCGCATCCTGACGGCCCATCTCTTGGCCGGCGGGCTGCTGCAAAATGGCACGGTCGACGAGTTGATGGCGGCTGAAATCACCGCGTTCTTTTACCCGTGTGGACTCGGCCACATGATGGGCCTCGATGTACACGTCCGTCCATCCGTCTCGATACTGACATGTTTGTTGGCTAGCTGCACGATGTCGGCGGGTACCTCCCTGGGACCGGCCGCACCGACACGCGCATGCTCCGAAAGCTCCGCTGCGGCCGCGTGCTCGAGACAAACATGGTGGTCACGGTGGAACCTGGTTGCTACTTCATCGAAGGCCAAATGGACGAATTGCTGACCAACCCAGACACGGCCAAGTACGTCAACGAGCACGTGCTGCGTCGATTCCGCGGCTTTGGCGGCGTGCGTGTCGAGTCCGACGTGATCGTGACCGAAACCGGCGTTGAAAACATGTCCCTTGGGGTCCCCCGCACGATCCAAGACATCGAGCGCGTCATGGCGTCAGCCAAGTAACCCGATCGTCGCTACCGTCCTCCATGACTACATAGTTGGTTCTAATTGCATATGTGATATGGCGTGTGTTTCGTTTGGATGCGAGCGCTACAATCGTCGACTGGTCGCCGCCATCGTCGTCGAGCTGGTCTGGGGGATTCGATTCGAGTCCATCGACACGAGGGACGGCCCGCCACGAACTTGGACGAGATGACGCCCATGGGACGGCGTGGTGCATGCGTTGCTGTTGCGTGCGGCACATGCGCAGACATGACGAAGCGCTGGTGATTAAATAGGGCAAGGCGTTGTCGCTGGCAGGCGGGCGACTACGCGGCAGCGACGACCCGCATCACGCCACTGTCTTCTTCGCCCGACGACGACTCGGTGGTGTCGTCGCCAGTGGACTCGATCGAGTCGTCCTTCTTTGGTGGTGGCATTGTCGTCGTAGAGGGAGTGGCGCGGGGAGGAAAGTTGGTGTAGAGAAGCGTGCTGCCGGTGACAAGGGCCGTCGAAAGATATCCCGGCAACCCAAACGCGGTCTCGTTCACGATCGATTCGCACGCCGCTGTGAGCAAGAGTCCCCCGACAACGGCAAAGCTCTTTTTGATGTTGCCGCTGTACTTGATGACAAATCCGACAAGGACGCCGCCGAGGGCCTGGACGAGCAGCGTCACAAACGTCATAAAGGACCACCCCACCCACATGGATGCCGTCGGTTCGACTGGGATTGAGGCGTCGGCGGACGACAGCGCCATCGCGTGCGCCATCGAAGACCACAAGCAGCATGCAATGTTGATCACACTCAGCTCGAGCGTCACCATGTACGCATTTCGCGCTTCCTTCTGCAGCGCTTTCTGGATAATGGTGCCAGCAAAGGCAGACAGGACGGCGGCGAACGCGGCACGGCCCATGCCCGTGATGCGCAGGGCCTCGCCCTCCAACGACGACGCTGCACGGTCGTCCGTAGGTTGCTTGTCGTGCTGGCCACCCACCGCAATGAGCACCGCCGACGCCACGAGCGCCACGAGCGCCAACACTTGGACACCCGACTGCTTCTTTCCAAGCATCCAGTACACCAACAACGCGGTCCAGATAATTTTGGTCTGATTGAGGACGTTGTACGTGACGCCGTCGAGGAGGACAACCGCTGTTTGGTTCAAGTAGTCCTGGACCGAGTAGATGAGCGCCGGGAGCACGGTTGTTCGCAGGGCGATGCGGAAAGACCACGTCGAGAACTCACGGCGCCACTCGCCGTTCCACAAGAGCGGCACCAATGCGACAACAACCTTGAGCAGCCCGATGACCGTGATCCGAAGGGCCACGTTCGTCGCGTCTTTGGCGTACCATTTCATGAGCTCCGGCTGGATACCAATCTGCAGTGCAAGAAGGAGTAGGAACACTGTGCTCTTCACAGACGGCGTCGCGTCGGCGCTGGACGACGTGGGCCGGCCAAGCAACGACACCGTGTCCGCTGCTTGTTGCTTGGACGATGGAAACGTCTTGGCTATATACTTGGCCTTGTCCACACCGATCTGTGCGCTACCGCTGCTGGTGCCGCGCGACGTCACGTCGGTTGCCGCCGACATCGCGACGTCGGCGCCGTCCCCCATCACAAAATGCGCCGTACTCACACCTTCCCATCTCCGACACTGCGACACACACCGGGCACGTACTTAATCGAGATAGGTCGTAAAAGTGCGATTCATTGGCACTCTGAGTACGACAAGGCAAAACACGACCGTCCAGTCGCGCTTTTCCCGACGAGACGAAAACATTGGGCTTCGGTGGCACGCGCTAGTGGGACTCGCTCCTCGCCAAGGGACCGCTTGCAGGATACGACATCCGCTTAGTTGAACGCGATGGCCGTGTGCGCTGGCGTTGCTCGATGGTTGTTTGCCAATCGTTCTTATGAGGGTGCATACAACAGAATGGAATATCTGAACACATGTATGGGACAATGGATGAGGGTAAAGGTTGCATACGAAATTCAAGTCAAAATATCTTAAGTACGTGTCCGTTGTATGTCGCACAGTCCACGACAATCTACCATACTTGATATATCCATCACGACATATGAAGACCTTTATAGATTTACAAGGGTTGCACTTGCAAGTCCGCCGAAAATATTGCAGAAAATTCCATGGTGGAGCTCGAAAATTCGGCTGCTTCATGGACATTGCCCCAATGAGCCTAGTCCAATTTTGATCCGAGTTGATACGCATACAGGCCACAACTTGCAACTGAAAACAAAAGGACCACGTGTGGTGGTGTTCCTGCAAAGAACAAGATATGTATGTGGTTACCTTCGAAGTCATGTATTTTGGTGCAAGAATCTCATTGAGTGGCTCTGCAATGCCTGAAAGCATGGGATGTATATCCAGCTGCAGTATACACTCAATGTCAAGGGCTCGCGCACAAGAGTTCCAATTTATCTCTCCTTTTTTACTCCCAAGGATTTTTCGTTTTCGTGGAATGTACGTGGACAAGTTTGCTCCCAGCTGTACAATGGCGCATTTGCCAGGCTGACCAGCAGTGTTTTTCCTCTCATGAATAGTGCTATTGTCTCAATTTCGCTGCTTGTCTCAGTATATCGCAATTAACAAATGAAGTATGGTACCTAATCAGAGCTCTTATCAGGTCGAATCGAGTGTGGGCAAAAGAGGTGTACCTTGGCGACGTTGCTGGGCCGAGTTGCATCAGAAAATCCCGCAGCTGAGATTCCTTTGCGTTTAGGCGGCTCAGAGCACGACGTTGCGGCATATCGGAGCAGGTACAATACCTGCAGGCCTTGGCATCTCCGTGGGATTTTGACGTGGCGATGGAGCCCCCGTTTTCAGAACGAAAAATCTCTCCTGACGTCGTGAATTCAACACATGCCTGACGAACAGGGCGGGTGAGCTAGTCCCAATATTGGCCAAATTTATGCCAATTTCAACGCAATTTCGATGACACATTTTGATTGGATAAAATAGAATTTGCACTCAAAACTGCCCATTTCAGAGCACCATGTCCACAACGAGAGCCAATAACATCAATCTTTCGTCGTTTTATTGAAATTGGACGAATCTGGGAAATTTTGGAGTTTGTTCCATCGTCAAACTCCCCTTGCAAACACGGCCGCACTGCGCCGCCCAACTCCGCCGTGGCCAGACCACTGCCAACCCAAACAGCTATGCCACCCCTTCGTCGTCGAGACTCAATGGCTCGCTCTCGCTTCAAAACCAGGGGGTGGTGGCATTTGTCGTCCGAGCAGGATTGTGTCGAAAGGACGACACATGGGCGCCTATCCCACAGACTGCATGGTTGCTTTGTCGCTATGCACACGCACTTGCGCATGCATCCCCGTGGTGAATCGTAAGGTTCTGTTGTTGCCGTGCGTGTTTTGTGATTCTTTGCGCAGATGTGGGCGGACCTCCTATCGAGTCATGAATCAGCGATCCTGTCACGTTTCCAAGGCCGCTGCGTCCATGTAGTACATGCCATCGAGTGTCCACTGGCTCCGAAGAAAGAGATGTTTTACCCCGGCTGTGAGCAACAATGATCCCTCGTCTGCATTGGTCAGGCGTGTTTGAGCTGGCCGCACGTGGTATATAGCACAGTGCACGACGTCGCACATGCCACACTTAATTTGCAGTCCCTTCAGCCAACCGACGTTGCCAATGGCGAGGACACGGCTTCGGCATGTCAATTGTCGATCTCGTCGACTACACACACCGGGTCCAGGGTCACCCCATTGATGCACGATGGGGCGACCCACGGACAACACAACCCAGACAAGCACGCAGGTCGCGCAAGTGTACGGGGCCGTCGCGCCTCGGCGGCGCCGTACGAAACAACTGGTGCTTGTGCGTTGCGGAGAAAGTCTGGCCCTATCCAACAACTGCAGCCAAATGGACGGACCCCACTGGAATGGCCTAGCGCCTCGCAAGTCGGTGCGAATTTCGTGAAATTGGAGCATGCTGACACTGCCTTCAATCCCACCGGCGGTGGCAATCCTAATGCGTTCTTTGTTGCGCTCGCCTTCGACTGTGATCGGACTGTGCGTGTGCAGCATCAACGTGACTGCATCCGCCTCGACGCACGCAACAGCGGCAAATGTTGATCATTCGCCAGATTGACGAGAATGCTTTCTGTGCATGCACCAGGAATCGATCGCGGTCGCGATGCCATCCACAGTCAAGGCCGCATGGTGCCGTAAGCTGCAATTCGCTTTAGCTTGCTCTCTCGACCAAATACGACTTTCTGCCACGTTTAGATACGGATATCATCCTGGACGCGGGATCCCGGCGGATTCGTTGCCGCAGACGACTGAGGATGAGGGTCGTACGTGGAGTGATTCGCATCATGTCCTCCTGTAGCCGCATGTGGACGTGCGCTGTACTTGTCCTGGCCCACCACAAGAAGAAATCGTTCATCGTGGACTGCGTGAAGCTATTCGTTGTACTGAGTCCGACCACACTTGGGGCAATTTGTGGCCTTGCATCCCTTGTTCAATCTGGAAACCTGTCCTGAGGCCGCCAACAGCGATGACTTCCACGGGCAGGAACTGCGCGTATCCGTGAGATCGTTCCTTGTTACAGAAGCGCAGCTTCATCATCTCACGTAGTGTCTCAAGTTGGTTCCGCGCAGGCATCTTCATGCAGCGATGTCGCACACGCTAGTCAGGTCGGTGCCACAAATCGCTCAAAATATCCCTTGAACGACAGTTTCGGTATATAATTCGACTGCATGAAAAATCGATCTTGGTGGGGTCGCTGTCGAAGCATTGCGAGTCGACGGCACGCAGGGCAACGATGGAGAGCACGACGATGCGGACATCCAAGAGCATCGCGCAAAGCGAGCTGCAGCAGCTGAAAGACACGTTGAGACGCCTCAGTCTAGCCGACGAGCATCATTCCGTGACGGCAACTTCCAAGATCCATGCGATGTTTGGTCCGACGGCGACGTCGACTGTGCAAACTTCGTTTCTTACGTCACCTTCGTCATTTGACAACCAAAAGCACGTCGATCCGGCCAACTCTTCCGGCAATCTTTCGAACAGCAGCTCGTCGTCCTCCAGTCTGTCCCCTGACTTGACGGCCAAAGCGTCGACGACGTCGCCGATGCTGCCGATCCATTCGCCGTTTCGCATGACGGGAAATGGTACGTCTACGTCCGCGGCCGCCAACAGCAAAGCCGTCTTGTCGGCGTTGAAGGCGCTTCAAGACAAGAATCGACGGCTCGAAGAGGAAAAAACAACGCTCGAGTCCCAGTGCGCGAGTTTGAAAGCCCAGTTGCGGTCGAACGAAGCACAGCACTTGAGCGCTGCCAAGAAGACGGCGTATGAGTTCGCGCAAGCTAAAGATGCCGCTCATGCCGCGTACGAAGTCCTGCGGTACTTTCCATGCACCCTCGTCGAGATCGCGGCGGAAGCAATGCTCATCGTCATATTCTGTAGGATCGAAAGGGATTCGTTGGTTGCCGAGCTAGCTCAAGCCAAACTCCACAGTACACACCAGGCCAACGAAATAGACCACAGCAACGACCTTGTGGCATCGCTCAAGGACAAATGCGAGCACGCTAGCGTACGTCACGACGACCAACGCCCTGACATTCGTCGAATCTCCATAGGTTGAAACCACGGCGATGGAGGCGCAGCTGCGTAGAGTTCAAGCCGAACTCACCGAATCCAATCAAATGGCCAAGGAGCGCATGGTGGAATTGCAGGAAGCGCTCCATGCGGCGAATCGATCGGGAAAAGAGTCGGCGCGCCAAGTTCAGGGACTTGAGGACCAACTCAAGCGCGCGAATGATGCCAACGCCTCGCTGGAAGATCGGCTGCACGACACCGAGGTACTTTTCGCGAGATGATCGTGGATTCAACTATCTTCATCCAGAAAACGGTCGCGCAAATGTCCCAGCTCAACGAAAAACTTGTACACAATCTGTGGGCGAAAACAAAGACGGCCAAGTCGAACAAAACGACAGCAAAAAGCACGGCCAAGAAGCACTCGGTGCCATCGCCACGCAATGTTGTTACCCGGTCCACGGCAGCCAGTCGCGCGTCAGCAAAAGCAACAACGGTCGCGCTTTCTGCATCCTCTGGTGTCGTCAAGCCCAAGAAAAAGGGGACAACGTCGTCGCGCATCACAAAGCGACACAGCACGAACAAGGCTCAGCTCGAGCAGGCCAACATGGGAGTGGTTCCGTTCCTCCTGGGCAAGTCGACGCAGCCGTCATTTTCGGTCATTGGAAACGCACAAGAAGCGCTTCGACACTCGGACGCTTTCCACGCGGTTGCTCCGGATGTGCACCCACCGCTCCACCAGCTTCATCAAAGGCACTCAGCGGCGAAATTGGAAGCACAAGGACAAGCGCATCGCCACATAGATGATGACGACAGTGACAACGATAGAGTCGGTGGAAAAAACACCATGGGCAGGCTTCTATCGGTCGACACATCAATAGAAGGTGGCGACGATAAGCCGACGAAAGCAAGCTTCATGGCGACGTTGACCAAAGCAATCAACAGCGTCGATACAGAATTCAACGACCTCAATACACGGTAAGACATTCCGTTGGGAAATCAAGTAAATGATTGGCACGAGTGATCGCATCGACTTCTGTTTATCGCTCGATGGCGGGGATTCGATAGCGGATTGATCCATTTGTCGCAGGTACAAATCGTTGGTTGGGCAAGTCGACAGCCCAGGCGTGAGTAAAACTCTTGAACGCACGATCGACGAGCTTGAAACCAAAGGCGAACAGCTCTTTTTGCTCAAGCAGTTGCACGCGCAAGCGTCCAAAAGCAGCATTTTTGCCTCGCGAAAGGTCCTCCACAGCCCCGACGCGGCCGATAAAAAAGCTGCCGCACTCCGAGTTCTCAACGATTACAGGAAGCTCGACCGGAACATCAAGACGAGGTCAGGTTCGAGGTAGCAGCAAGTGTCCATCGTAGTCAGTTGAGTCCGGGTAACATGTCGCCCATTGTCTACAGTCGGATCTTCTTCGTGTGCATCGACAGGAGCATCGAGGACGCTTGGTTCAATCAACGATTCTGCTGTTCGTGCGGCAGATTGCTCGGACCTTCGCCACCGCCACTGAGCGTTTGTGCATTCAGCCGGTGATTGGATTTGGCATCCAACAAGGCTTCCATGCGCAGTTCAAAATATGAAAACGCTTTGTACTTGGCAGCGTCCGTATCGTATTGGGAAGGTTGGAGCTTGGCCATTTCAGCTCGGAGACAAGCCAGCGCCGCGTCCAGACTCGCCGCAGTAGACGATTGTAGAAACATGAGGTTCTCCTTCCATTCAGGGAAGATCACCTTGACCTCGATGGGAACGTCTTCGACTGGGAAAGCAGTAGACATGATGTACCTTGCAAAGCTTGGAACGACGACGTTATCCTCCGACGTGGCGGCCGCATGCTGCCATAAGGCCGAGACAGCCCCCCGTTTGCATACTTTCGATGGTCGGTCGCGTTCACGTTGGTGTTCTCCGTCGTCATGGCTCAACTCTTTTGCGTTGGGTTCGTTGCTGCGTGGCTCAAGCCGCCTTGACGGCGGGAACATGTCAGCCAGAACGGCTTGAACATCCCATTGCACGACAACTTCTGGTGGAAGAATACTGGAAGGTGCAAATCGTTTGATTTCCTTGGCATTCTTTTGCAACTTGCGTACCAACGACTCTCGCTTTTTCTACCACGTACAACGCAGGTCGTCCACGGAATGTAGGATGCGACAACGGACAAACCTGCAACTTGGCGATAGCAGCGTCAATGTCGGCAATTTCCCGCTCCATCATGCCTCGAGTCAACATGCATTCGATTTCTTCCCCAACGACGGATCGCGACAACGCGACCGCCAGTTCCATTTGGTGCTTATCTGCTGACGCCGGTATACGTCGACGTGATTTCTTGGACTTCGACGATGTCTCATCCAAACACGCATTAACGTGCTCTTGTCTGGCCTACCGCCCATCGTGAATGGTGAGCACAGAATAGATGGACCTCTTACCATGGAATCGAGGCCCCACAACGACATAAAGCATACAATGCAGTTGTGCTGTGGGTCGGCAACTTTACGTGGTGGAGATGGGAGAAAATCCGATTCCGCAGTTTCGTTCAAGGGTCCCAATGACGGCAACGCTGGTGATATCTCTTGTTGCACAGGCGCTTCAGATGAATCTAGAGCTGGCGACATGATGAAAGATGGAGAAACCGAGGATGCGGCGGGGGGCAATGGAGATGGCAGAGGAGCTGCGTTTCGAGTTTTGCAACTAGTGCATTGCTGATGTACACGAAACACTATGAGCGACGACCCTGCCGTGATGGTGTCGCCGTCCGACAAAGGCCGTAACTCGCCAGGAGGAAGCGCAACATCGTTCAGTTTCGTTCCGTTGGTGCTTTTGCAGTCTAGAACACACAAGACGCCCATTGTGTAATCCAATACGACTTGCGCGTGCCTCGAAGACACATCCAGGTCAGCTGAGAGGAGCAAGCCCGCACGGTTTTCCCCTTGAGGTCCTTTCCCAAAGACAAATTTCTTGCTGCGACCGATCGCAATAACACCGGTGGGGTGAGTTGATCCTAGGTCTGCCCACGGTGTAGTCTTGCCTGCTTCCGGGCCAAGGAGCACTTCGAGCGACACCACGCATGTGCATCCCACCGTCGTCATGTCTCGGCCATCAACCACACTCGCGCGCTTTGCAGGGTATTTGCCAATCGCAATTTATTCCTTTTCAATAGATAAATCATTTTTCTTGCGAAAAGTTAAACTTTCGAATAATGTACTAGTACTCCTGTAGATTTTTTCGATAGTTACCAAACAAACGTATATCATAATATATTAAAGTGATTTTGCAAACGTGAATTTCCTTGTGGACTTTCCTTGTGCGCTATAAAAACGCGCACAGATAGAAATTCGTTTCTAGAATTTCCTTGTGCAGAATTCTCACTGGGAAGAACTTTTCACGTACTCCAGTTAAGCAATGTGCGAGCTCAGCGACACTACCAAACGAAAGCCAGCCTATCGGTTTACAAACACAGCCGACGTTGACCTCCTAAACGAGGTCGTATTGGTGGCCCCGTTCGATGCGGGCTATGGGCAAACAACTGCTAGGTGGGATGAGATCGGTGACAACATGAGAAGCATCCATGGTGAAGCCATTACAGCAATCTGCTGCCGCAGGCGGTTCGACGACTTGCTGGCCGCATTCAAAAAGGCCACTCTGAAGGCCCTTCGTTCGTCAGGCACGGAAGAGGAATACAACGAGCGTGATCAGCTCCTGCAGGACATAGTTGACTTGGTAATTGAACAATGTGCGTATGTGGCTTGAACGACATGACTGTTAGATTGATGCTGCAGCTACAAAGAAGAAGGCGTTAAAGCAAGTTCAAGATAAGCGAGAGACCGATGGCCACCTCATCCGTGAGGCGGCGCTCGTGAGTTTGAAAAGAAAAGCTGTCGACGACGAAGTGTCGCCACTAAAGGGGGCGGTGGCGAACGAAAAACGACTCGTTACTGCAGTGAAAGAGGCTGCCTCTGTGGTTGCCACGTTTACCGAGATGATGCTGGAATCAAACAAAATCAAAGCAGAAGAAGTTGCGACCAAGAAGGAAGAAATCATACTCGCCCAGCAGAAGCTGGAACTCGAACGCGCACGATATGAACTTGACAAGGCTGAGCGTGAAGCCCGTTTTGCAGTTGAAAAGGAGCGCGAGGTACACATGGAGTTCATGCGTAGCACAATTGAAATGATGCGTGCATTGACAAAATCGATATATGTCGATTTATATTGTTGGGTGTGATCTTCATGAACGATACTGTCTTTGTTGTCTTTCATCTGCATGAATAGCATCGTGGAAAATTGTACTTCATGGACGCGATGTATTGTACGCCTTATGCTATGTGGATTTTACATGGAGATACTCCTCAGCAGTAGGAGGCATA